GGCCAAAGTCACACATCAGGTCTGTGGCAGAGCCAGGAACACAGCCGAGGTCTCCTGAGCCGCAGGCCAGTGCTCTATCCTACCCCAGACGCCTTTGGATGTTCCTACAAAACAGAAAACTTCTCTGATGACTACAGTTCATTTGCCTACAAGGAAGTGTTCAATCACCATGTTTGATCACATTCCAGATGAGCTGCATCATGTAGTGGGTGGTGTCAAATACAAATGGACACTACTTGGACAGAGATTATTGCTTTATTTTCTACGTACAGGGGAAGGGGAAACCAATCCCGAATGAGAGACCGAAAGGTGATAAACACCTGTCGAATATGTTCAGAGAAAGTTTTATGGGATCCAAAAACCTTAAAGCCCTTAATATTCTCTTGCAGCACTGCAAGTGTTACAGCTTCACCAAGAATTATAATAGCAAAACCACCCAGCAGAATCCCTTCAGACAATCTGGGCTGTGCGATAGTCACAGGTTGATGCAGTTCAGCTGTGCTTAATGAGATGTGACTTTTCTTAAGCAAGGACTCATACAAAGATTCCTTTTCCATACTGGAGCACAGAAAAATATCTATTTGCTTTCAGCTAATCACCCTCCAGAAAGCTGCTATCTTGATTAAAACAATATTCCTTCTGATGGAGCCTCTTTTCCTTTGACATCCAGACAGCACAGCTAAGGAAGGAGCACCATGCCCCTGCAAGCTGATGTTTTTACACAGACGTTTTCTGATAAAGCCTGTCTGTCCCCTAAATTATAGATTGATCCTGCAGGCTGATGAAAAGGGTGTGGAAAGCCAAAGCATTCAGGTCTCAATGTTCACTCTGCACCCCTGCAGAGCGGCTTTGGCACAGTGTGGAGAAATGTACGCAGTGCTCAGCAACAGGAGCAAACCTATAGGAGAGTGAGCTACTTGGAGTTTGTAAAAAGCAACAGAGGGTCCTGTGGCACCTTTAAGGCTAACAGAAGTATTGGGAGCATAAGTTTTCGTGGGTAAGAACCTCACTTCTTCAGATGCAAGGTTCTTACCCACGAAAGCTTATGCTCCCAATACTTCTGTTAGCCTTAAAGGTGCCCCAGGACCCTCTGTTGCTTTTTACAGATTCAGACTAACACGGCTACCCCTCTGATACTTGGAGTTTGGCACTGGAGAGCAGAGGCGGGAAGGAGGGCAGGGCCGAAGATGGCAGGGCCGAAGATGGCAAGAGAGGGCGTAGGTGTTTCACAGCAATCCAGTGAATGGAAATGGCGTGTGCAGGCAAGCTGACATTCTGCCTGCCCTGCCCTGCCGAGTGAGTTCCTCTGAAAAAGCTTCTCCCATCCTGCAAGGCGTGTGTGTGTGTGTGTGTGTCGGGGGGGATTTTAAGTCTCCTGAGACCATGTTAGGCAGAGGATTCTTGCCATGTCACCTGCCTGCAATACCCATGCCCTTCAGTTTAATGGATGGTAACAAAGCACCACGTTAGGCAGCTGTACAAGTGTCTCACCACTGCTCTCAAGTCCTGCAAGATGGAGTCTTAAATTAGCATATCTGGCACGATCACTCTCAGAAGTGTAAACCCAGCGTGACTCCACTGAAGTCAGCAGTCACACCGCAGTTACACTGGTGCAAGTGAAATCAGTGCCCTTGGCCTCAGCAGCAGCTGTTCTGTCTAGTTCTGTATTTTCACAGCCTGATGACATGGATTTTTATCAACACTTGGTGCCTTTACAATATTGCTAGTTAGTCTAATAAACCCACTTGGTTCTGCCACTGCACTTCTTCACTTTAATAATCTCTGATCATAGCTTTTTACATGGAACTTAAAGCTTTTGTTCTTCCTTTCACTATGATTCAAGGGGCCAATTCATATGAAACCCTGTAATCCTAGAGAAAGGCTACTTGGGAAAATATAGGAAATGTATTTTCTTTGGGAAAAACAGGACTTTACATCCTTATATAGCTTCACCGCTACCCAAGGCTGGACATGCTCTATGTAGCTTTAAAATCCTAAAGCGAAAGGATTCTTCCTAAATGGTGCCCTGGTACCTTCCCGGGGAACCACTTAAGCTTTAGGGCACTGTGCTTACATAACCAGAGGGGAGCACATGATCCAGGGGTTTAAGTTTCATGAATTTCTCTCTACTGCTCTTCAAGGGCCAAAAGCTAATATATCTATCCCAAGGGAATCTGCCTGCTGTCTTGCTGGAACTGTGACAATTTGAGAAGATAATGTGTGATAATGCCTTGAGGTTGCAAGAGACATGTTACGATTTTTATTTTCCAATTAAGAAAGATGACCATTCCCAGCTATCACTCGGTTGCAGTCTTCACAATTGGAAAAAATATTACAATTTACCACCCTTGTTATTGCTAATTGCAGGTAATTTATCCTAACAGTTTGAATGCTGGACTTTGATTAATCAGGCTTTTTAACATTCAAGTGAGGTATTTAATGGGTGTGAATCCTGCAAAAATAAATCCTTGTTTATGCAATTGTAAATTCATTACTCTCTGCAGGATTTTAATTCCAATTTGACGCTTAGTTCAGACTTATTTGCATTAGCTTAAAACCATCAGGACCATATTTAAGAAATATCATTCATGGCTGAATACAGAAGCAAATGACTTTCCCAGGTGATTATATGTTGCAGTGAATATAAATTACATAAATCCAGTGGTTTTAAGACTAAACCATTGCTAGTATACAACTAATACACTGACTAAGAGACATGGCCTCTTGATAGTTGCTTTTTTCTGATTTTGGCTTTTGGTAAGAAAAATCAGAATAAATAATTATAACCCAAATATTCCCCAGTAGAGCTAGTAAAATCAGGTGCAGATCAGTAAAGACGCTCACCATCTTTAATATATTCACAACAGAAACTTAATGGACTTGTCAGCTGATCGCATTGCTTACATGCAGTCTTGCAACAGCCAGGAGCTGTCTCAAGACTTTCACATCGGACCATGTTACACCAAACATGGCTTGAGTTGTGTCTGCATTGCAGCCTATCCGTCTCACAAGCTTGGCTGCGTCCACACCTCTCATGCTGCCGAACCAGGTTTGTTTGAGTGCATCCTGCAGAAACTCAGGCAACTGTCCGATAGCGCTCAGAGGCGGCGCATATGGAACACCCGTGGCACACCAGGTAATCTCTATTTGGGAAAAACTACATGTTAAATGAAATGCTGATTAGATGCCACACTAATGTTGAACTCATGACTGTAGAAGTGAACATAGTTGTGAAGGGTCATCAGAATTTTGCAGGATCCTATTGGAATGACATAATTTTAGGAAATTATGTGACTTTTTTTCCCCATAGTTCATCTATCTAAACTCTAACAGCAAAGGAAATCTTTACCTCTGCAGTACCGCAGGGTGCATACACCAGTAACTATTCAAGTTTACATCTAATGCTTCCATGTTATGTTAAAGCCCCCACTGTATTATCTGAGTACCTGTATTATTCATCACTGTCACTAATGAATGTATCCTCACTGCATTACTGTAAGGCACGGAAGTATTATCCACATTTTAAAAGGTGAAGAAGTGAGCAGCACAGAGAATTCACAATCGCAGTTATAAATCTTTACCTGTCAACTGAGAAAGTTGAGGATTATAACATCTAAAAAGCCTCTGATCATAACCCTTTTGTATTGAAAGTATAAAAAAGGGAGAAGTGCCAGAAGGTTGAAACCCACAAATGTCCCTAGTAAAATTTTTTTTGTGGGGGTGGGCAGGAACTGTTCCCTGATCCAATGCCCGAGTGATGCAAACTTAGAAGCTCTACCTGGCCAGCTGAGAATTGTTCTGGCAGAGGATGGGTGGAGTAAGTTTAGAGGGCATGTCATAGTGGTAGGGGTGGTACATTAGTGTTTTCCACAGATCCTCAGCCGGTATATGGCCTAGGCCAGTGGTTCCCAAACTTTAACAACCCGTGAAATCTCGTGAACCCCCTCCTAAAAATGAATATTTCCAGGGATTTAAGTTTAAATCTCCTCAGTGTGATGCTAACAACCAACAAACTAGAGAATGAGACGATTCACTCACCTCTCACTGAAGCAAAACAGAAAATGAGTTAGTATCGAATTACTGAGGCACCTTAATGCTGCTACATGGGGCTGAGGCTGCCAGCCCCTCTGCTGAGTGGGGCTCGGCTGCGCACTCCATGGGGCTCAGGCTGCCGGCCCCAGCTGCCCAGAGCTCAGCTGCCCGCTCAACACTCCACGGGGCTCGGGCTGTCTCCTCTGCAACTGGATCCCACCTGCTGCCTCCCATGCCTGGGGTCCTCTGGCTGCCATTAAGGAAATTTTTCTGGCGACTCCCCAGTAACATTGTGCAAACCCCAGTTTGGGAACCACTGGCTATGGCTACAGTGCAAAAAAACAAAAACCAAACCAAATCAAATAAAACGGTGTCAGGAAGTCTCAGAGCCCAGGTCAACTGGCTCCCGGGACTCAGGCTACAGGGCTAAAAATAGCAGTGATGTTGTTTGGTGTCAGACTGGTGTCTGGGCTCTGAAACCCAGCAAGGGGGGCCGGGTAGGTTTCCAGCCTGAGCCCACGCTATTTTCAGCTCTGTAGAACAAGCTCAACTCAGTTGATCCAGGTTCTGAGACATGCTGCAGTGGGTCTTTTTTTGCAGTGCAGCTGTACCCTTAGAGACCATACCTGGCTACTGTAAGACTAGGCTCCTCTAACTTGCATAGGGGCTGGTACCTGTTGACCTATAGAGTCAGGGAGCCACACGCAGCCTCATTCCCTCCTCTGATGAGCGGATCTTGGGATTGGAGAGGATCTGGCCTGACATCTTTTGTGACTGCCGCTTGTTATCCCCAGGCCTGCTGTCTAGTTCAGGATAGCCGAGGAGGCTGGCTGTGTTTTTGAATAGATTTAAATAAAATAAGTTCAAATTTGTATTTTACAAGAAGACAAAGAGCCTGATAAGGAAGTAAATCTGCCTCCACTTTGTGGGAAGGAAGCTTAAGCCAAAAATCAAACCACAGTACAGAGTGGCATGTTAAAGTTTTTATTGCTAGGTGTTCCCCAATACAACAAACAGTATCAGTAGTGTACACTTTAATGAAAGAGAAATTAGCTTGGTAGAAAAGAAAGCAAAAAGGTACAAGGAGTATCTACATCCATATTGTATATATGTGAAAGATAAAGAGAGAGAGAGAATTTGACTTCTGGGGAATTCCAAGGAAGCAAATACATATCCTATTGGTCTGTTTGAGGCTCAGGGATTGTCTGTACACAATCTATATAATGCTAATTTCTTTAGACCTTCAAAAGCCTTGCATAAAAGTAGCAGCAATTCTTTAGAGGCATCGAGTCAATACTTCAGTGGATTAGATTACAAACATCATAATGCAAGACAGACGTGATCCTATTCTCTTTTGAGGGTTAATTTACTTACATTCTAGTTGACATTAGGGTTTCCTGAAAGAGATTTGCATTCTAACGTCATCTCAGCAATCCCACAAAATTACTACACACATTTCTTAGTCTGTTTCCAAAATGTGATCCATGGAGTCCTAATATATTTCATAGTGTTTTTAGTGCTGCAAATTCACTGTTTAATAAAACAGTTTGCTCAGACAGGACAAAAATTGCACATCAAACTTTAGTAAACTATTTAAAAACCTAAAGATGTTTGTAATTGACAATGGCTTTAAGATTTTTTTAAAAAAGAAATTAGACCAACAATTCATCTACAGTAGTTTAGTTAGCTTCAATTTCTGTTCTATGCATATGATATAGCATGTACATGTATCTAATTACATCTCTATTTTATCTTGGCGAAAGTCACTGCTATTAGTGTAAATATTTCGTACATAAAATACTATCAAGAATTCAACTTTTAATAAATATCTTTAGTTCTCAATCCTATATACAAGTACTTTACAGCAACACGCAGGAGAGAGCATGACTGGATGAACTGAGAAAGATGGTTATTGACATAAATTACTAGCAATGATTGCAGTCAGATGCATTGTGGTTGTGGAGATTTCAAGGTGAACCATGCTGAAAAATAAATATCTCTCTTGCCTTTAAATCAATGCTTTAATCAGGAAAAACATCCATTTTAAAACTTGCCACAGCTACTACTTATTAGTGCCTACTCTAGCTCTGTGATGCTCTTTCAGATTCAGAAGCAAACAGCTCATCCAGAAAACACAACTCACATTGGTCTTGTGAACAGTACAGTACTTAACATATACAGAGTTACTTTTTTCACGTACTACACTAGTCTGTCCCTCTTAGGCAAAAGGAGAATTCAGAGAAGGCACTGCTAGTTCTAGACCTAAACAATGTCTGCTAAGTAGAGGGTAGGGGTGTTAGCATTGATTTCACTGGCACATTTCGTCAGTTTCTTCTACCTGTGATTTAAAATTGTTATGCTGCTGAACAGACTTTTTAATTGGTAGGTGATGAGTAGGTTTGGACCAGTAAGATGGCAGTTCCCCCTCTCCCCTCAAAAAGAAAGCATCACATTGTTGATATTAAAAATAAAGATCTTCCTAAGGTCAGTAGCTGTAAGCTATATTAAAATGGAGCTCCTCTTTTAATTAAAATGCTGCTTTGAAAATCAACTCCTGGAATGTAAGGAAGGCAGTACTCAATGGCAGGCACCTAGTAAATGTCCAGAAATGTAACATAGGTAAACAATTGTTTGACAGCACAAAACTCTTAAAAATAATACTGATTTTTCTGCAATATACAGTATATACACAACAGCTGAAAATTTGCTCATACAATATTTGTTTATATAGATAAATTAGCAATACAAGTCTTATGGATTCTGATGTTCCACTGCAAAAATATTTTGTAAAAGTGTAAACTTTTGGTACCTCTTCTGGTGGTGATGTCCCCCCCCCCACATGTGATCTTTTAAAAATAAAAACAATTAGCTGATGTGCAAAATAGGCTCTGGCCACTTTTCCTATACTAGAGAATGACCACCACACTCGGCAACTTTCTTTCATTGATGTGAATATTCTTTGGTGCTTTCCTCCCATGCATTCAAGCTAACCAGATAATGAAGTGTAGGAGGATGGCAGCAACTAGAAAGTGAACCAGCACTTTGTTTTTTATTTACAACTAAAATGACCTGTAGAGAGTTCTGCTTCTGGAAAGCAGCATGCACCATGGTGTCCTGAACAAAAGATTTCTGTTACTATCCTCCTTTTTGCATTCACTTTTATCTTTCCACCGTGGATGATCTCAAAGCATGTCTCTTTTCAACATGCTTCTTATTTTTCCTTGAGGTTCTAGCTGGAGAAAGAGCACCTGTAGAAGTGTTGTTAACTGCTACCATGGGATGCATTATGGGGACAGATTGCCAATCTTGGTAGGTGACTGATATGGCACTGCAATCAGCCTAGAAGTCTGACTTCCTGCTTGGTAAGCTCTCCTCTGGGGTAACTCAGCACCTTTGGACTTACTATTTGATGTAGAAACAAGTACATCTATGTCCTCTTCCCTAGGAGGCATCCTGCCTACAGAACTTCTGTTCTCATCAGCGACATCTGCGTGCTGAGGTACTAAAGATGTCGGCATCGCCAAGGCCCTAGGTAGGTCACTAGGATGGAACATCACTTCCTCTTTGGTTTCAGCAGCTTCAGTAAGGTCAGGAGGCGGGAGGGTGCTGCTGCGCTTGCTGCAAGACTCACAGCACAGCTTGTTATAGGCAGGGATGGAGCAATAGCGTGCGAGCACTTCCATTTGACAGAATATTGACTTGTCTCTCAGGCAGGGCTCATCTGCAAAACAAGCACAATATCGACTGTAAACCTGGGGAAACCATGCAGGGCAGCCTTTCGAAAGTTCAGAGGCCAAAGCCTACATTTTGAAAAGTGCCTGATGACCGGGGGCCCAATCTGAGATGCTGGAGGGGGACCTGATTCTCGGAAAGTGTTCAACACCTGCCCTCTGAGAATTGGGCCCTTTAAAGGGTCTCTAGTTGGGTACCCACAAACTGAGGGGCCAAAATCACGGGACACCTTTGAAAGTGTTGGCTCCCTTGCGCAGGAAACAGATCTCTCTGCATGTAGAAAAGTATGACCCATTCTTGGGGAAGACCAGATCCAGTACATGCAGAATATGCTATTGTATAAAATTTGGCAGCTCTTCCACACCCTAGCAGATGCAGTCCTACACATCATCATAATTAGACTTGAAATGATCCCTTCTGGTTTTGCCCTCTGTCAACAAGACTGGGCCCAGAATGGACTCTCTCTTGAAGGAAAGGAAATCCCAGGTAGTATCTCTGAAAGATTCTTTTCAGGCGTTCATTAAAAAAAAATTGTTGGCAGTTAAATGAACCATGTTTTTGAGGTCTTCAGTGACCTAAACATAACTGATAATCCAAGCAATCTTTTACCAGACATAAGACATAAGTTTCCTCTAGGGTTGGTGCATGGGACGTACGTTCCTGGGAGGGCTCAGACAAGATGCCAGTTTTCCTTTGAGCATTCATGAGATATCTTATCAACAGAACAGGATTATTCCGCTAAAAGTGTAGAGGCTGTAGATACACTGGACAAAATCGCATGATGGTTTGAAATTAGTGGAGGTCATTTTTTGTTTTGGCTGTTAGAAAGCAATCTCAATCTAAGACCCTGATCCTGGAAACTTGTATGCGCTTTTTGAGTGTGAATAATCCAACTGAATTCAAAGAACGTTAAGCATGTGCTTCAGCGTTTGCAGACCTGGGACTAATCCTGAGAGGTATTAAATGTTGCAGTCTGGCATAATCAACCATATCAAGGTACAAGTAGCTCAGTAATTCTGTTAAGCTGAGCCGAAATGCGAACATTAATTAACCTTTTAAAATGTTTGCCCTGTCTAGGGGCAGGAGCCAAATTCTTCCTTGGCTTATGCCTCTGGCAAATCTCTGTTAACATAAGAGACAGACAGCAGGGCAGAATTTGGCCCTAGGAATTTGAAATTAACAGTACTCCTTGGGGAGGTCAAAAATCAGGAGATGGGTAATTCTACCCCTTCCCCACGTATATCAGTCTAACACGTTGGTAATTTCTACTGTACTGAATTGATATATAATAACTCAGAATTTCATAGGCATTGATTGCATTAATATTTAGCTTACGTGTAGGTGTGCTGTGAAATTCCAGCCTTTTTACCATGCTGATATTATAAAATGTTGTCCTCTGTAGCCAGAAAAATGATTTGAACTACACACTGCTGAACAGGCACTGGAAGCCACAATCCTGCATTGAGAATTATAGACCCTCGGCGTCCACTGGCTTCAATGGAACACCATATAGGCCTCGGTTCAGCTCACTGGCTCTAAGCCTGCAGTGTGCCGAGCATCCTCCGCTCCCACTGACTTCACAATGAGGGCACTCACCAGGAGGAGTCCAACACCTTGCAGGATTGGATCCCCTTAGGCTGAGAACTTACAAACTTACTATTGTTCACTCTTGTGAAATATTTTAATGGAGAGACAAATGAGTTGCTTGGTGCCCTAAACGATGATTCCAATGTTGTGAGTGTTACCAGCACTCCGTGTACGTTAACAGACTGCTTCTGATGTGCTGTAGTTTATTTGAAATGGTAGCGACAGATTTTATTTAAATAGCAGAAGGCATAATTATAAGCTAGAGAGGTGACACAGATTAAACTAAAAACCAAACTCTCAAAAAGGCGTGTTTTAGCTTTTGGTCTGACAGTCGTAGTTAGTATTTATGTAGTTGGCATTTTAATAAGCAACAGATGGGGTGTACAATCACTACTTAAATTTGCTGGCTGCACTGCGATATTTTTTCATGAGCCCGTGGATGTTACCTCACCTCATGTCAACAGGGTGCTGAACAGCCATATTTAAATTCAAAATACAAACTGTGGGCCAGATTCTCAGCTGGCTTGTAAATTAGTTTAGTTCCATTGACTCCAGTTCTGGTCTGCCCACACTTACAGCAGCTGAGGAGTCGGCTTATATGAAGTCATGCCATTGACAAATTGTGCCAATATTAGCATTTTCATTATTCACTAGGCCCAATCCTGACATCCTTCCTTGATAAAAACTTCCTTGCTTCCAGGCAAACCTACTGTTAAATCTGCAATTCGGGCAGTGAACAATAACCCTGTCTGTGAAGCAGCATCATGCCTCTGTAAAAATTTTTTGAGGAGGACATCAGCATGGGAAACTAAAGGACCTTCTTCATAATTCAAACTAGAACACAAATGTCAAAACACAAATCTTTGCATGTACACAAGTCATTATTGATCTGTGTATGCTACACTAAACAGCTAGTGCTTCCATATTATTAAAAAGCAACAGAGGGTCCTGTGGCACCTTTAAGACTAACAGAAGTATTGGGAGCATAAGCTTTCGTGGGTAAGAACCTCACTTCTTCAGATGCAAGTAATGGAAATCTCCAGAGGCAGGTATAAATCAGTGTGGAGATAACGAGGTTAGTTCAATCAGGGAGGGTGAGGTGCTCTGCTAGCAGTAGAGGTGTGAACACCGAGGGAGGAGAAACTGCTTCTGTAGTTGGATAGCCATTCACAGTCTTTGTTTAATCCTGATCTGATGGTGTCAAATTTGCAAATGAACTGGAGCTCAGCAGTTTCTCTTTGGAGTCTGGTCCTGAAGTTTTTTTGCTGTAAGATGGCTACCTTAACATCTGCTATTGTGTGGCCAGGGAGGTTAAAGTGTTCTCCTACAGGTTTTTGTATATTGCCATTCCTGATATCTGACTTGTGTCCATTTATCCTCTTGCGTAGTGACTGTCCAGTTTGGCCAATGTACATAGCAGAGGGGCATTGCTGGCACATGATGGCATATATAACATTGGTGGACGTGCAGGTGAATGAGCCGGTGATGTTGTAGCTGATCTGGTTAGGTCCTGTGATAGTGCGGCTGGTGTAGATATGTGGGCAGAGTTGGCATCGAGGTTTGTTGCATGGGTTGGTTCCTGAGTTAGAGTTGTTATGGTGCGGTGCGTGGTTGCTGGTGAGAATATGCTTAAGGTTGGCGGGTTGTCTGTGGGCTTGGACTGGCCTTCCTCCCAAGGTCTGTGAAAGTGAGGGATCATTGTCCAGGATGGGTTGTAGATCACTGATGATGCGTTGGAGAGGTTTAAGCTGAGGGCTGTAGGTGATGGCCAGTGGAGTTCTGTTGGTTTCTTTTTTGGGCCTGTCTTGTAGCAGGAGGCTTCGGGTACACGTCTGGCTCTGTTGATTTGTTCCTTTATTTCCTTGTGTGGGTATCGTAGTTTAGAGAATGCTTGGTGAAGATCTTGTAGGTGTTGGTCTCTGTCTGAGGGGTTGGAGCAGATGCGGTTGTACCTCAGTGCTTGGCTGTAGACGATGGATCGTGTGGTGTGTCCGGGGTGGAAGCTGGAGGCATGAAGGTAGGCATAGCGGTCGGTGGGTTTTCGATATAGGGTGGTGTTAACATGGCCATTGCTTATTTGTACTGTGGTGTCCAGGAAGTGGACCTCCCATGTAGATTGGTCCAGGCTGAGGTTGATGGCGGGGTGGAAGCTGTTGAAATCATGGTGGAATTCTTCGAGGGTCTCCTTCCCATGGGTCCAGATGATGAAGATGTCATCAATGTAGCGTAGGTAGAGAAGGGGTGTGAGTGGACGAGAGCTGAGGAAGCGTTGTTCCAGGTCAGCCATAAAGTTGTTGGCATATTGTGGGGCCATGCGGGTGCCCATAGCGGTGCCACTGGTCTGGAGGTATATATTGTCACCAAATTTGAAATAATTGTGCGTGAGGATAAAGTCACAGAGCTCAGCAATAAGTTTTGCTGTGTCATCATCAGGGATACTGTTCCTGACAGCTTGTATTCCATCTGTGTGTGGGATGTTTGTGTAGAGAGCCTCTACATCCCTGGTGGCTAGGATGGTGTTTTCTGGGAGGTCACCAATGCATTGTAGTTTTCTCAGGAAATCTGTGGTGTCACGGAGATAGCTGGGAGTGCTGGTGGCGTAGGGTCTGAGTAGGGAGTCCACATATCCAGACAGTCCTTCAGTGAGAGTGCCAATGCCCGAGATGATGGGGCGTCCAGGATTTCCAGGTTTGTGGATCTTGGGTAGTAGATAGAATAACCCCGGTCGGGGCTCTAAGGGTATGTTGATTTGTTCCTGTGTTAGTGTAGGGAGTGTCCTGAGTAGATGGTGCAGTTTCTTAGTGTATTCCTCAGTGGGATCTGAGGAAAGTGGCCTGTAGAATTTGATATTGGAGAGTTGTCTGGCAGCCTCCTTCTGGTAGTCAGACCTGTTCATGATGACAACAGCACCTCCTTTATCAGCCTCTTTGATGATAATGTCAGGGTGGTTTCTGAGGCTGTGGATGGCATTGCGTTCTGCACGACTTAGGTTATGAGGCAAGCGATGTTGTTTTTCCACAATTTCTGCCTGTGCATGTCGGCGGAAGCATTCTATGTATAGGTCCAGACTGTCATTTCGACCCTCAGGAGGAGTCCATGTGGAGTTCTTCTTCCTGTGTTGTTGGTGGGAGGGTATCTGTGTATCAGTGCGCTGTTCAGTGTTATCTTGAAAGTATTCTTTGAGTCGGAGGCGGCGAAAGTAGGCTTCCAGATCACCGCAGAACTGTATCATGTTCGTGGGGGTGCTGGGGCAAAAAGAGAGTCCCCGAGATAGGACAGACTCTTCTGCTGGGTTGAGTGTGTAGCTGGATAAATTGACGATATTGCTGGGTGAGTTAGGGGTACCCCTGTTGTGGCCCCATGTGCCAGGTAGATGGGGTACAACCGCATCTGCTCCAACCCCTCAGACAGAGACCAACACCTACAAGATCTTCACCAAGCATTCTCTAAACTACGATACCCACACAAGGAAATAAAGGAACAAATCAACAGAGCCAGACGTGTACCCGAAGCCTCCTGCTACAAGACAGGCCCAAAAAAGAAACCAACAGAACTCCACTGGCCATCACCTACAGCCCTCAGCTTAAACCTCTCCAACGCATCATCAGTGATCTACAACCCATCCTGGACAATGATCCCTCACTTTCACAGACCTTGGGAGGAAGGCCAGTCCAAGCCCACAGACAACCCGCCAACCTTAAGCATATTCTCACCAGCAACCACGCACCGCACCATAACAACTCTAACTCAGGAACCAACCCATGCAACAAACCTCGATGCCAACTCTGCCCACATATCTACACCAGCCGCACTATCACAGGACCTAACCAGATCAGCTACAACATCACCGGCTCATTCACCTGCACGTCCACCAATGTTATATATGCCATCATGTGCCAGCAATGCCCCTCTGCTATGTACATTGGCCAAACTGGACAGTCACTACGCAAGAGGATAAATGGACACAAGTCAGATATCAGGAATGGCAATATACAAAAACCTGTAGGAGAACACTTTAACCTCCCTGGCCACACAATAGCAGATGTTAAGGTAGCCATCTTACAGCAAAAAAACTTCAGGACCAGACTCCAAAGAGAAACTGCTGAGCTCCAGTTCATTTGCAAATTTGACACCATCAGATCAGGATTAAACAAAGACTGTGAATGGCTATCCAACTACAGAAGCAGTTTCTCCTCCCTCGGTGTTCACACCTCTACTGCTAGCAGAGCACCTCACCCTCCCTGATTGAACTAACCTCGTTATCTCCACACTGATTTATACCTGCCTCTGGAGATTTCCATTACTTGCATCTGAAGAAGTGAGGTTCTTACCCACGAAAGCTTATGCTCCCAATACTTCTGTTAGTCTTAAAGGTGCCACAGGACCCTCTGTTGCTTTTTACAGACTCAGACTAACACGGCTACCCCTCTGATACATATTATTAAAAGCACTTGTTTTGGAAAATATAGCAAAGTTTATGTTAAGAATACATTTATAATTTATGCACGTATTTACATCTAGTTTAAGTGCAAGTTCCACAGATACCCTTGAAGAGGTTGCCAAATACATCAAAAAGTACCAAGCAATTAATTTTGTTTTTACCTGTAGACAATGCACTTGATCTGTTCCAATTTCTGGCAGCTGATGTCACTGATGTAGGTTTTAGAGGGCTTGAATTTATCACATCCATTGTATAGTGCAAAGATTTGATTTTGTACTTATCTACTTCCAGTGAAATAAGTACAATCTTTGAGCTGTGTACTCACGTAGTTCCTTTCTTTTACTTTTTAGGTTAATTCTGCACCAGCTAGTCAACCATTTCTTATTCAGTATATAGGCTGTTGTATCCTTCTGCTGGTTTTCATGGTAAAAATTCTCCTTTTCACATTTTATTTGTTTTATGGTAACTAGGGGAGGAAGACGTGAGAAAGCATATCGGCTCTCTAAGGAATCTTTATCGCTACTATAGGATACTTTTAGTAGAGCCTAACAATTACCATAGAAGTCTTATTGGGAATGCTACAGGTATGCTGCAGATCAGTGAAAAGGCAGCATTGTCACAGTAAATATAATACTCAAAGTTTGTACCGTACTTGCAGACAGTGTTCCCACAGGAAAATCTAACTAAATTCAGAAATAGGCCAGAGGGTATTTAAAGACCCTGGAAGGAGAAAGTTGATGGCAGATGTCTTTAATTATAAAATACAGAGGAAGAGAAATAAAAATGTGTTACATATAGCACTTAGGTGTGTAAACAAAATGGTAAGTTTTCTATGTTACACCAAAAAATCTTGAAGGGAACCCTCTGAAGGCAAGAGTTTAATGCTCAGAAAAAGGCGACTTCTCCAATTTTAACTATGATGGAATTATCTGATATTTACATAATTCAATCTATCAAATGGCAGGAGTATAAAGAGTTTATCACATTCTATTATAAAATAACTGTAGTGCACAGAAACATAGCTATATAATGATTTGTAAACCATATTTAGAACTGGAGTGGAAAGCAGAGATTCTATTTGAATATTTGACCCAGAGGAATAATGAGAACTACCTACTATAATGGCTGAATGAAAATTAATGGAAATTGGGCACTTAAGTCCATTTTGAACCTTTGAAAATCTTCCCCCTAGTAAAAATTATGGTCCAAATTTTTGAGCTGGGCACACAGGCAGAATATGTTCTTGGGCACTCAGAGAAATGCAGCACACGCAGGGCTGAGGAATAGAATCTATACCACCTGCTTCACTTTTGCTACAGAAGGGCATGATTTGGCAGCATATAATTATGTATGCCCTACCACTGTATAATATCTTCCTATAGCTCAGTGCTTAGTGTAGATCTGCTGCTTAAAACTGTAACACTGCCCTATAGCTTTCTTTGCTAGTTAAGTTTTTGTTTAATAGGTGTTTCATCATGTTTTGATATATGTTCGGTCTATTCTACCTGGAGCATCAATCTAGGGATTTGTAAACCTCCCAGTGACTAACCCAGACATGCTTCATATACTCAGACACCTGAGTGATCGGTGTATTTTAAACATTTATAAAATAAAAACAGAACTTTAACCGGGGGTGAATTTCACCCCTGCACAGATGGTCACTACAGGGGCCATTCAAGTCTCACCTAAGCCCATTTATGGGGACTTACGTAACACACAGGCCTTGTGCTGGGGATCTGCACAGAGGTGAAGTCCAACTTTGGGATTTAATTCTCCCAAGCACTGTATTGTATACATCAATCAGGATATCATACTGTGGTGGAGGTTCAATCATTTATAAGGCTGTGACGATTAACTGTCTCTGATGGATCAGATTTCATCATGGAGATGTACCGTAACAATAGAAATAAGAAGTAATCATCCTGCAGGGAAATTTTACAGCCTAGAAATGTTGCACCCTCTTATTACTGTTCAGGGGATTTAACTCTGAGAGGTTCCTGGAGGCTTCTATGGCTTCACCTTACATAATATTTTGAGAAGAAATATTCGGATTATACAAATTTCCTGGCCTGACATCCCCTCTGGGATTTTAGAGACTAGGCCAGGGCAGAAATGTAGGTGCTGATCCTCATTCTGCTGCTACTGGTTTCTCAATGGTTACAATGCTGGGTTGTATTTGAAATAAATGGCTGGGATGTTCAAAGGAAGTGAGATGCCCAAATCCCTCTGACACCCGACTCACTTCAGTGCCTTTGAAAATCCCAGCCTACATTACGTAAGTCTATAATCACAAATCCAGGTACTCTCCCAAAATGGTAACATGTCGATCTCAGCCTCCCCTTAGAATACAAAGCTTTTCGCCTCCACATTTGCATGTCTGACTCCTACACTTTAAATGATCAACTTCAGAAACAGAAATGTGGCCCCCTACTCTGCAGTTACTTACATGTTTAAGAAGTCACTGGAACTATTCTTGTGTAAATTTAAGCACATGCATAAGAATTTACAGGATCAAAGCTTCATTCTCTTATTTCGGAAGTCTCAGTCTTTAAAGAAAAAGTCACTTCATAAAGAAATATCTTTCCCTTAAGATACAGAAGAATTGTAATACTGCTTCTTGTAGAGTAGCTAAAGCTCTGCTTCCCCCTAGTGTTTAAAGCAGGATTCTTTCTGGGTTATCAGTGCTAAAGATTCTGTAAATGGAACTTAGGTCAAAATTTTCAGACTCAATATTTAGGCACCTTCAGAGAGGAGCCTGATTTTCAGAGTCATTGAGCACCTGTAACTCTCTCTGAAGTTAACAAGAGATGAGAGTGCTCAACATGTTTGCAAATTAGGCCAAACTTGTTGAGGAGGCTAGAAGTGGACTTTAGACACTGGTTATTGAAGATCTCAGCCATGTTTTTCCATATGGTCAGTTTCACAGTTGAGCTGTTTTTATGTCAATTATGTACAGGATTAAAAAGTGGATAGCAGGAAAAAAAATTCTGGTCTAAAGCACAGGATATATTTTGTAGCATGAGACAATTGAAAGGCAAGGTGCGCATATCAGTTTGTAGCACCACCACACTGTATAAGCGAAGTATTCACAACATTATTCATCTATTTACAGTACTTGTACTGCATCTTGTCTCCAAAGGCAATGTACTGTACACAGTAGCCCAGAAAACATGGCTGTGAAATTAAAGCTCTGTTAGAACTTCAAAGATCATCATCATCTTGTTTTGTTCTTTCAGTTCATCCTAAAAGAATGAGATCTGGCCCTGGCATCTCTGTCTGCATATGCCCACCTCTGTAGTAAGTGGGCATCCTACACTGAAACAGGAATTGTTGCTCCCATTGCCAGTGCAGTTATTCAGGAAGTTTACTTACCATTACAGGGAGCAAGCTTACAAACCCGCACTGATTCAGGTTTTTCTCCATCACACTGGTCACCAGCACGGCATGTGACCTGCCTGGACTGAGTTCCTTCCCCACAGGTCACAGAACACTACAGAACAGATACAAGGTATTTTACTATGTTATGCCTGGCCCCAGCAACATGCAATTATCTTACAGGTATGTCACAAAGGCGACATCGTCTGGAATAGCCTAATATGGGTGACCTTCAGGGTCGGCTGTAAATTCCTTTTTGATAGGAGTTTTTGTAGAGGTTGACATTTGCCTCGGGGGCAGCAGTTGGGCAGAGTGGGGTGTTCCTCCTTTCCTGTAATGTTTAATTTTTTATTGTCACATATTCTGAATTTTGCTAGTAGTTTTTGTCTGTTCTGAAAATCCAAGCATTAAAGGCTGGGGTATGAGGCAGCACAGAGCTGCACTGCCAAAGGAGCAGACCGGGACCAAATGGTGATTCTCAGAGCGAGCCAATTTGATTTTTGGTTTCCCCCTTGCTCTGGGAAAAAATAACTTGTACCAGAATTCTACTTAGCACAGCTTTCTTCCCCATCTGTGCTAGCTACTACGCTGGGAGGTGGGGGAGGAGACATAACTCCCCCTTGTTCCTTGCCCCACTTACCCACTCCTCCCAACATACAGGCGAGGGGGGAGTAGCAGCTCCACGGAGGTTACTATATGTATCTATGGTACATATTTGGCCCTCATTACTGTAGGATCTGAGCATCTCACAACCTGTAATGTAGGGCAGTGCTATTATCCCCATTGCACAGATGGGGAACAGAAGCACAGAGAGACTAAGTGATTTGCCCAAGGTCAGACAGGAAATCTGTGGCAGAGCAGGGACTTGAACCCAGATCTCCTGAGTTCCTAGTTGGCACCCTTACTACCAGGCCTCCTCCTCATACTGTGAGTCTCAATGTGGGAAGTCCACAAAGAGGGTAAGGGGGCATTCCCTTCCCAGGCACCTATTTCCAGCAGAAATCTAACCTCCGTTCGGTACAAAGTATGAAGGGAACAGTAACACTGTGACACGAGCACAGAAAAGTCAAAGATCAAGATTATTGCTACAGCCGTTATCTACAGGGCTCAGTTGTTTCTTTATAAACCAAAAACTTCCAGAAAGTCTTGCTGCAGGCAAAAAGCAACTAAAAACTTCTGCTGTCTCAAAAGCGTTGCTGAGAAATTGGAGAACATTTTTTTTTGCATGAAAATTCATAATGAAATTTTTCACCTAGGTTTGCAGGCTTTGACATCTTGATTTTTTTGTTAATTCCAGGAGGAGTGAGAGCCCTTTTGCTTTCCAGGGTTATGGAGACCTCAAAGCCTGTGGGCTTCCAGGTCACTATTTAAGACTCTGAAGTTCAATAAAGTTGCAGCCAGAGGCTCTTAACCCCAAAGACAGTGCAGGCACATGGTACTGGCAAAGGTACAGCTGTTCATTTACTGCTAAGGAAATGTCTGTCAGCTCCAAAGATATATGGTCCATAGCAGAATACTGCTTGCCCACCTCAGCCCAGGGTCCAGCTTTCCACTGCGCAGGGCATGGCGTTCTGTTACATGGCCTGCGGCTCTCAGGGCGATCCCCACTACAGTACTTGATATGGACCGAGCGGTTTGCGCCGTCGTGAAGAGGTTGAATGCAGCGCACAGTACGGATGTGGTAACCAGAACTCCCACAGGTTTTTGTGCAGTATTCCCATTCATCTGCTATCCAACTGGGGGGGTTAAAAATAAAAGTGCCATCAATCATTTAAACAATCCCTAGTTGGTTACTGTACAGTGCAGTAGATAAATAGATTAAATTCTGCTCTGCTTGACTTACATACAAGTCACATTGCCTCGGGGGCATACATTGGACTACTAAGCAGCTCTTATGGAAAAATCCAATAGAATTTAATAGAGAATCTTTATATAGAATTGTTAAAACCAACCTTTGGAATTCTACAGCAGGAGCATAATTCTGTTCTACCTACTGCTGCTTTCTATTGGACATTTCATTTTAGATAAATTCTATGGGACTTTTCCATCAGAGTTAACACACCCATTATTGTACTCTGAGCAATAGAGAAATGAGTGCTGCCAAGACTGATTTCATTTTTCCAAGTGCTCATGAAAGAAATGAAACTGCCAGCAAGGTAGACTGCATGCATCTGTCTATGCACAGAGGATGCAACCCACCCATTGTCAGCCAGTAAGCACAAGACCTCTGTACCACATAAATCCCACTTAACCCCAGGCAGTGCCACAGAGGGCTTTGTGCTGACCCTCTTCACAGAGGGGAATTTCATCCAGAATAAAGCTTTCCAAGGCTTCCCCACTATTTTTTCTTAATCTTGACTTCAAGGAGCACCTCTAAATGGAAGAGGGTAGTTTAAACTCTGTGCCTATTCATCCTTTAGCCTCTGTACTGAGCACGCCCCATTAGTGACAAGTGTCCACTAACAACTGAAATGAGATGACCATCAAATTCTTGGCAGCAAACCTGCCATGAGATGGAAACAACCTTCTGTATCCCAGCAGCAGTCCCCAGGCCCCTGAGCCAGGCCTGGGCAAGCTTCTACCTCCATCATCCGCCGGCCAGTACGCGGGCGCACTTAGATGCCCTGGCGGGCGCCATGGCATCCGCAGGCACCGGGGACCCCTGGTCTAGATCGTCCTGACAGGTGTTTGTCTAACCAGTTCTTAAAAATCTCCAATGATGGAGATTCCACAACCTCTCTAGGCAATTTATTCCAGCGCTTAACCACCCTGACAGTTAAGAAATTTTTCCTACTGTCTCCTTTGCTGCAAGTGAAGACCATTACATCTTGTCCTATCATCAGTGGTTACAGAGAACAATTTATCGCCCTCCTCTTTATAACAACCTTTTATGTACCTGAAGAGTGTTCTCATGTCCCCCTCAGTCTTCTCTTCTCCAGACTGAAAAAAACTGGGTTTGTTTAATCTTTCCCTGGAGGTCATGTTTTTTAGACTTTTGATAATTTTTGTTGCTCTCCTCTAGACTTTCTTCAATTTGTTCACATCTTTCCCAAAGTGTGGTGCCCAGAACTGGACACAATATTCCAGTTGAGGCCTAATCAGTGCTGAGTAGAGTGGAAGAATTACTTTTCATGTCTTATTTACAACATTCCTGCCAATATATCCCAGAAAGATGTTTGCTTTTTTTTTTGTGTGTGTGCAAGTCTTACATTCTTGACTCATATATAATTTTGTGATCCAGTAAAATCCGCAGATTCTTTTCTGCAGTACTCCTTCCTAGGCAGTCATTTCCCATTTTGTATTTGTCCAACTGATTATTCCTACCTCAGTGTACTACTTTTACTGAATTTCTTCCTATTTATTTCAGACCATTTCGCATTCTAATCCTAGCCTCCAAAGCACTTGCAACCCCTCCCAGCTTGATGGTATCTGTAAACTTTATAAATGTATTCTCTCCTTCAACAACCTGAAATTCAAGAAAATCTCCTGGTTAAGCCAGGTTTGTCTCTTACCATACTTCCTATCTATCCTACACGTTGGGATAGTTTGCTCTTGTGCCCTTAATGATGTCTTTAAAAAAATTGCCAACTCTCCTGAATGCTTTTTTCCCCTTAGACTTGCGTCCCACAGGATCTTCCTACCAATTTTCTGCATTTGCTAAAGTCTGCCTTCTTGAAGTCCATGGTCTTTATTCTCCTCTTTTCCCTCTGACCATCTCTTAGAATCATGAACTCTCATTTGAGACCCACATTTCATCCATCCATACTTACAGTGGCTGTGTGCATTCCTGCAGATTGCACATTCTACGAATAGGCTTTGGTTTTTTGCTGGCTTCACAGAAGCTGCGGTGAACCATTTTGTTATCACTTTTCCTTCGGCACCCATATTTCGTGTATTGGAAACCTTGAAAATATTTCAGAAAGTAACTTTGAGTGAAAATTAGTAAAAATGTCCTGCCCCTTCTTAAACACTTCTGTTTAAACACAATGTTTGTGGACTATTTTATGATTATCCGTCCGAAAGACATTTACATTATATTTAAATACTATTGCCGTTCGTTACAATGTCAAGCACAAAATGGTTTGGGGATATAAAATTCAGAATTATCTGGAGTAACTCTACAGTATATTATAGAGATAATGATGCTATTAAAATCATGGTATTTTCACAGATTTTAAGGCCAGAAGGAACCATTACAATCATCAAATTCTGACCACCTGAATCACTCAGGCAATAGGATTTTACCCAAGGGAAACTGAGTTTACTTACCCAAGTTCACACAGCAGGTGAGTGGCTCACCTGGGAACAGCACCCAGGTTTCTTGAGTCTCAGTCCAGGGAACTATCCACTAGGCCACACTGTAGTAATTCAAGTTACTGTGACATTTATGATACTTCCCATTCGAACTGCCAGGAGTACCACAAATGCCACAGAAAGTTCATACTGCATTGAAATAAACATCAAGATCTACATTTCCAAAAGTGACTAGCTGATTTTGGGTACCAGCAGTTTTTTGGTGCCCAATTTAGACACTTTCACAGGATGGAGTGCAACACTTTCCAAAAACCAGACATTTCAAGTGTTTCAACTTGGGCAACCCACAACTCTTTTTCTTCCTCCTAATTTAACATGAATCACTAGAAGCTGCTGCATCTCTGTTTACCTCCAGCACAAGGTTTGGAGCACTGGGACCAGCTCTTCAAAGCCCACTCAAAAGTATCTATTTCATCCTGAAGAACGTTGTTACTGTTGATTGTGGGTACTGAATCCTCATGAATGATGTATTTGTAAGTCAGGCTAGATCTTGTGTCGTTCTCTTGAGGAATGACCTATAAAAGATCCAGTAGAAATGGAGCACATATTTATTCTTTTCCGGGTCAACAAACCAATATCTGGAAATGTAGGCGGTGCTTAGTAGTTGAAAAACTTATTGATCTTTACCTTCAAATTTAGTACAAAAATAAGTAAGATCAACATAGAAAAATATGCCTCTAATGAGTCTAAACTGGGAGAGTTTACATAAGACCAAATACTGACCCTTCCTAGCTCTGGATTGCTGAACTACATGGCGCTGGATAGACTGGCTATGCTGCGTGGTCACATTCCTACTCTGCTTGGGGGAGGGGCTGGTCCCAAACATGGTTCTGACTAATATGGGACCTGATCCAATGGCCCTTGATGTCAGCAGGCACTGTACTAGGCGTATGGTTAGCTCGTTACTGTTGTATGAATAAATGAGTGCTTGTGACGTAGTAGTGTGGACACTGCACACTACCTCTGAAAGCGAATGTCAGTAAAACTACTCTTACTGCTAGTGTGGGCAGAGCTTCTGCTCATCAGCTCTCTCAAAAAAACTTTACACGCATGCGCATTTTCCGAGAGATTACATACTTATCCCACTATAAGATTTAACATTTTTTTAATAAAAATAAGTAGTTTGGCCACACAGAAACACAACAATAATAATAAAAAAACAAGCCCTTGACATAACCTACCAATATAACAACAGCATCATGCAAAGGGCCATCAGTATGAAGAGTTTCTATGTCATCTTCTATGTTGTATTCCCACTCCACACCAAGTTCAATGAAGGACCTTGACTTGGCCTCCTCCCCTTTCCTGTTCAGAATATAGTGTCCAGTAGCCTGGTTCTTAATGGCTAAAAGGAATCGAAAACAGTGGCAATTGTGCTTCTTGTCATGTAATCTGCAGTCATGGGGGTTCACATGAAATGAGACAAGTAGCATTCTATAAAGCCCTTTTCAAAAATCTCTTTTTGCTTACTATTTTAAATGTTGCGTTTTGCAGTGGGTCCTTGGGAATTGAGGAGATTTTGCTATTCCTAATCCAAAAATACTGAAGTCCTGTCTCTTCCATTCAATACTCCTGAACCCATCTCTCTCTAGCATGCCGCCTCCTCCTCCAACCCAAAGAGTGGAGGCTTTGCCAAAAACTCATCATAAATCCGTGCTCAGGGAATGGATGATACTCCTTTCAAGGATCTAAAGCAGATCACCTTTGGCAAGTGCTACAACTCCATCAGCTCAGGGACTGGAGGCTATACCCAAAGCTGCAATTGCTACATTAAACCCTTACTGCCACCAAACTACAGTCTGAGGAGACCGAGATTGACAATGTATATACTGCCAATATCTGTATCTCCTAATGCAGGTGGATCAGATGAAGTTAGATAGATGTAAATATACATTTTATTTTACATAAACTTTAGCTTAATTCTAGACTCAAGCCAAACCTTTAAAATGGCCAATCCTATTAGTTTTCATAGAAAGTTTTGGAGGTGGCCTAAACAAGTATTTTGGGTATTGTAGGGCATGTTAGCATAACAGTAACATTATACGTCTTTGTAGTGCCATGGTTGTGAAATCTTTGGGTTTTGCAGCACAGTGATTACTAGAAAGGGAAAGTCAATATTACTTTTTGAAAGGTTGTTTTCTTTTGTATACTTATATTCTACCCACACATGCTGACTTTACAAACACTTTCCGTCTGATTCTGGGGTTCAAGGATTAGAAAAAAGGTGCAACAATCGAACCACCATTACAAGGTAAGGGAGAACAGACGACACAATAAAACATCTGATAACGAACAGCTAAGACATTCATGCACTTTGGGAGATACGTTAGTTTCCTAGAGTGAGACATGAATCATGATGTGGATGTTATTGTTATCCTGGAAGTGTATCACTTACAAATCAGTAGTTGTTTAGAGTTTAAAAAATAATCAGAGAGAAAAAGACAAATCATTTTTCTAACCACACAACAAAACTAGGACATAAAATTAGAGAAAAGTCTTATAAATTATCATGACTACAGTAAATAAAATGCAAAAGCCATGCATCATGTATTTATTAGCTCTATGGAGCCTATTTACTATAAAGGCAGAGTAGCTCTGTATTGAAAAGGTACATGGTCAGGTCACAGCTGATCCAAAATTTAAGGTTTCTACAAATAAGCTTTCACAAGCCCGAAAACCAACAGAAATGTTCCCGGTTTTGCTTTATTCCAATGCAAAATTATTATTTTTTTTTAAACAAAACCTTCCCTGCAATATTTGCAACCTGGACACTGCAGCACTGTGTTAGAACCCACTCCAGAAACCACTGAAGTCAATGGAAAATTCTGCCATTAACTTAACTGGGCCTTTGGATCAGTTCCCTAGTGCATGAGAAAGGGGCAAGTGACTAGACAAAAATGACTTGAAACAAAAGTTAAATTGGTAGTCTCGTTCATTGTCCGAGAGAAATGTAAATGTAAACCAACAGCAAAAATATTTATGAGTTAAGATTTCTTTCCATGTAATGACATAAGGTGTTGCTTACAACCCACTGTAGGTAAGAAATTTATAAGTGTACTCAATTATATTAATATAGTAATATCCTATATACTTTTTAGCCTGACAGTGTCCCTTTAAATTTACTAATAATCCACTTTCAGTGTGATCAATAGCTCCTTGAAGTGCTGATCAGGATCAGTCTGAGTTTCTAGAAAATTCAGATGAGAAACAAACATAATTACTAAGTTTGTACAGTAGGATTCAGCCTTGTGAATGCAATTGTCAATACACAAGGAAGCCAGCAAAGCCTTTAGCTTGTTGTTGTCTTACCGTGCAATAAACACAATTAATTTGATGGTTATCTCATTTCTCAGGTTCTCCAATGCATGCCCAATTGTTTGACATTAGCTTTCATGCACAAGGGCCAAACCTGAGGCGAGAAACACTTACCAAGAATGTGAGGAGAAGCCTCGTCTTCTTGGATAAACACATGTCTAGCACCCGGGGGGATATCAAACATCTTAAGGTACCCTTTGGCATGTGTAGTAGTCATTGAAGAAAGTAAAGAAGAAAACAAAAAGTAATAGCGATGGTTAGTAGGGCACTATATTATCGAGCTTCGACTTGCAGAGGAGGGTATCCATTAACCTACAAGCAGCTTCAGGTAGGTTTGTAACGGATTTGATTAGTCTGTCTTGCACTTTTTTCTCTTTTAGGGAAAAAAAGAGACTGTTACAAACCTTAGCCACTTACTTTGTTATGTTGTTTTCAGACCATAACAATAAACAAATTCAGGCAAAAATTTGTGTTTCCTATGTTTCTCAGAATTAAAACAGGCCTTTCTGATTGCTTTTCTTTGTCACCTTTCAGCCTTATGACTTAATGGACTATGAGGTGTTCAGGTTTCGTGTATTTGCTTAACTCTGTGAAACTTTAAAGGGTTTGTCTACCTGGCAGGGCAAAATGCACCAAAGCGGTGTGACTTGTAAAGCACTCTAAATTGCCCCAGGCAGAGCCCGCTAGCACACTCTAAAAGGTGCCTAGTTCACATTAATATAGCCGTTTCAAATGGGACTGCATCTCAAGATGAGAATTGAAAATGCGTAGATTAAAGCATGTTAATCCCAGTGTAGACACACTCATACAGAAATAAAGTGGTCTTCGGTCAATTTAAAAATCACACCTTAATTTAAACTGGTGCAATTCCTCCCTGGTATGCTACCTGATACTTAGAGTTAAAAATTCTTTCCAAAATGATCATTGATGTTCTAAACTAGAATTCTTAATTAAATCTAACCCCAAGTGAATTGTTTAGGACAGTGTTTCAGCAGGAAGAGTAATATTCTCAGCTTTCCACCAAGGGGGAAAAAAACAATAAAAGTTATGGACATTTTTTTTCTCTACCCATGATCAAGAAGTTATGTTGCACCAGGGTTCAAATGAGAACATGTTTATAAGAACTGAATGTGAATAAATTTTATCATGTTTAAAAATGTCAGCCTGTCAATGTTTTAATACATAGTATTTTCATATTTCTTTGCCTACAATTTGACTGAGAGTTTGAACAACTTTAAATGGTACACTTGTCTTGATGTACGTACATTTAACCAAGAAAATCTTCTTAGTGGTAACATACAGCATATCCCTAAAATGTATCCATGTTTATAAAATATGCCATATAAGTAAATCTCTCTCTTGCTCACGCTGATATGCTATGTTTCCAAATAAAGTATATAAATTCCAGTCCTACTATAGAATCATTGTAGACAGATGGGGAAAGAGTTGAGTTCTTAACAATTCAAGTTTAACAATTGGGACTTTTGGACCAAAGTTCCACCTGTGCTCTTGGTTCATGTATCTGTAGCATACCACAGATACTTGGAAAACGGGTGAAGAAAATGAAGAGCTATGAATATATAAATTAACACTATAGGCTGATGGATGACTGGTTTATACTAATCTGCACAAGCAGAATATACCAATCCTTTTACTTATCAGTGATCAAGCATATGAAACATAAAGCTTTGCCTGTTCTTGCAATATGTGTAAGTGACTAGCTGGAAATGAGAACTGTAGCAAGAGTATTGCAGTTGTCGTGGATGCCCATCTTTCTGCAACCAGGTGAAACTTACCCAGAATATTTCTAGACTCCCTTGTTTCAGAGAGGGAAATATTGCGAGCTCCTTTGGGCAAAGTGAATGCTCCTCTTGTCTTCCCTTAAATAGAATGTCTTTAATTAGTGTTCTGGGAACTGAGTCTTGCTGTTTCATTGACTATAATGTCAGCCAGGCGCATTTTACAAATGCAGAATATAAATTACATGGTTACAGTATGTGCTGAAGTTCAAAATGCATTTAAAATATTGTTAGAAATATCCAGCAAATTTTAATAGTCAATGAAAGTGAGCCTAAGTTTGAATGAAAAAATCAGGTAGGTGATTTTAAGTTGGATACTTGCAGATTTCATTTTCCAGCAACTTGAATTCTCTTTGGCACCTCTTGCTTAAATGTTTCCCTGTTGGAAGAGTTTAATTAGTCTTTTAATGACTATATTGCCACAATTACTGTAAAGCAATAGATGTTATGCCAGCATTGAAACATCAGTTTGGAGTTGAATAATTAGCTGCCTTTTCCAAACAGCCTCCTAACAACATTGATCACCCACAAGACATTTGAGTTTGACATCTGGAAGACTGTTTATGCTTTCTCACACAATCATACCTATGCCACAGAAAAGTAAGTTTTTAAATGAAAAAAATTGGGAACATTTTGACCATCTCTATTTCTGATTATTAAGAACTTAACTGTGTCAGAAATCATGAACTACTGCTGATTCCAGAAATACAGAGGGTTTCTTATATGGCTCCAACATGCTGTCTTCCATCCCATTCCAATACATATGTGTATTCAGACAGTGTATGTATATTCCCTATGTCAATACCTTACACAAAGATTTATTTCCCCACATAATCTGTCTTGGCTTGATTCATCCCAGCCAGCAAAAGAGGTGGAGAAAGCAATCACATTTTTAAATAGCATGTATTTTGTAAGGAGCTTTATAAACTCATCATTTGTTTAAAAAAAAACAGTGTCTTGTCTCTCCATTGGTCTGGAGAACAGATAGCAATGAGAATATTCCAAATAGACGGTGATAGTTTATAAATATTCTGCAGTGGAATCCTTGTCCCTTTTTATTGCCACATACACTAGCTTATTTTCATCTAATTTTAAGTGGGCTGTCTAGCTATTGACCAAATTCTGCAATCACTGACGCTGGTGCAAATCTGGCACAGTGTCACCGGCGTCACTTAACAACATTTACACCTATGCAAATTCAGACCCAGGTACACTACTCCTCTCCGTCCTTCAGCTTCCTCCCTGCTCCTTCCCAAACCCCTCTGTGCTGCCGAACAGCCAACCCTTGCACAGCTGTGGTCCATGGCATGCTTAGGATACAGATCCCCGTGAGGCGTCTCTCTGACCAGGAAGGGATGGGCAGGGCTTACCACTAAAAGAAGAGGTCTTACTTCATTTTACTAAAATATAAACAGTTTGAAAAGCCTTAAAATGGCAAACAACGTGTTGCATAATATACAGGAATAAAACTAATAGTCCCTTCATTTCCTTGTTATTCATAGAACGTTTCCTCTTTTAATCTTTAATTTGGTAACTTTATGCTTGGAGCTTACAATTTCACTCCCATTTTTAACACCTGGTTACAAAAAGAACTGAACCGCTTGGAACTGACTTGATGCATCTATGTACAGCTGAGCATTTGGTAATACTGACTCATTTGTGCCGCAGTCATTACCATTTGCTATCTTTATGCTATGAAACATCCCAGTAAAGTGGCGGTCTAATTTAAATGCACGGAGACACTTCTGCACTTAGATAAGTACAGCTCCCACTGGCTTTGGTATCAGGCATGAGTATTGGAGGACTGAATTTGGCCTATTTTATTAAGGGGAGTGTGTCTCAGCCTTGACATCTTTTCTGTTCAGCTAATTGATCATTACCATACACACACTCCACTTCGTCTCAATCCGCTGCCTTTAAACATAGCCCAAAAATTACAAAAAAGATGAAGGTGCCACTGAAAACTACTTGCACATTCAATTCAGAATTACTTCACTTCCCACACAAAAATGGGCATGGGAATTTTGGTTGTGTTCATTTTTTTTCCCCTTGGCCAAGGCATTGTAATTTGGGAGTTTACTACACAAAGCCAGCTTGACACCAAACACACACGTATTGACAGACCTCTAGCTTTGTACACATGCCATTAGAGAAGCTTGTGAAAAAATATAAGCCCGCCCAGTTTTTTTAAATGGTTTTCTTTAGAGAGACTAGAGGGAAATGTGTGTAATAGAGTGTTCTGGGGGAAACAAGTGCAAAAGTCACATTGAATACAATTAAATATTACTCATTAAATGGTGTTTTTCATCCCTGAATAAAATGTTCAGACTTAACATGCTAAAACACGTGTCACATTAAGGTCCCAATCCTCTACTACTGAAATCATTTGGGCCTGATTCTCTCATACACTAAGACCGCTAAGAGGGTAAAGAGGTGCTAAAGCACGGATGATTATACCTATACCCCCCTTTATGCTGCCAGAGCAGCATAAAGGGGTGTTAGTGTAACTGAGAAGCAGGCCCAACAGCTGGCAATGATCTGGCCCTAAATCTGCTAACCAGGGACTTGATCTTTTTTCCATGTTTCACTATTAGCCTTACAAGTTATTTTTGTTTAGCAAAAATCATATTTTTACCACTGATTAGAGCCATCGTATGACTGACTGAAAAACTAAATATGCTCTACACAGGGATATTAGATATTCTAGTTTAGCCAAGTTGTCTTAACAGGTCCTTCAAAAAACAAAAATAATTAATATTTAGTGTTTTTAAAATATATGTATTTTGCTGTCAAAGAACTTACTATTTTTGTATACAGTCTTGCAACTTTGTTTAAGCAGGTGAGGATACATTTTTCTAACCAGTCTATACTAATAAACACTAATGACGAATTGGAATATATCTGGGTGCATGAAAGTGCTCCGCCTACCGGGCTTTTTGGGAGTTCGGGTAAAGGTCCCTTTGACCGTTCGGCAATGAGAGTTATCTCCACCGCAGACACCACATTTATCTTCAACTTTGTTGGAACCAATTTCCTTGTCACAGCCCACTTTCTGCAGAGAGGAGAGTAAGAGGAGCATTTTTTCTGCCCATTATAAATATCACGGTGGAAAGGAAAGTTCACCCAACAATTGATGTAATTAAATATAAAAATACTTGAAAGACTGCGATTGAATAACACAGTGACAGCTCTGAACTGATTCCTGTATTAAACCCATTATTAAGATTACATTTAGGGATTGTAAAAAAAGGAACAGGCAACAGAGAAATTCAGAATTTATTTTCACTTAGAATCATAGAAACACAGGGCTGGAAGGGACATCAAGAGGTCATCAAGTCCAGCTCCTACAATGTGGTGGGACCAAGTAAATCTTGACAGGTGTTTGTCCAACATGCTCTTAAAAACCTTCAATGATGGGATTCCACAACCTCCCTTGGAAGCCTATTCCAGAGCTTAACTGCCCTGAGAGTTAGAAAATTTTTCCTAATATCTAACCTAAATCTCCCTTGCTGCAGATTAAGCCCATTACTTCTTGTCCTACCTTCAGTGGACATGGTGATTAATTGGTCTCTGTCCTCTTCATAAGAGCCCTTAACATCTTTGAAGAGGACAGTGATCAATTAAGCTATTATTACACAGAAAAATATCAAAAAAGCAGAAGCAACTGGTTTAAAAAGAATTATTTAGACAATGACAGTATTTGTAAGAAATAAACCTGTAGTAGAACTATGATTTTAATTAAAATTGGGGGATCCTGGAAAATATGATTTGGTGAACGTTTCATGTTCATAAAATCCGTGTCATATGTGGTTTGCTGAATACTACAGTATTTGGCCAGCTCTAATTATGATTGTACAGCCTTGTTGGATAATCAGCAAAACCACCAGAAGTAAATGTCACTCACCACACACTCTCCACGCACACAAATGCTGTATGGATCTTTATAAGAACAGCGAGTCCCGTCATGTGCCAGTTGTTTCATATAAGCAATGTCTCCAGTTTCTTTGGACTGGCAGTATAAGTGGCATCTTTTGTTGGCTGAATAACAGGGAAATAGTGTTAACTGTGTGTATTTCAATAACCCAAACATGCTTTAGAAAACAACCAAACCCCACAAAGTTTTAAATCCGTAACAACAGGAATGCTGTATGGTATAAATAAAAAGGAGCCTTAGCTGTGAAACCTTGTGCCTGAATTCAGACGCTTGGTGCTCAATTCTCCGCTTGAGGTACACTCATTATTATTATTAGCTTTCAAATGCGTAATGTTCCTAGTCCTTTGAGAGGCTACGCACCCTCAATTCTCATGGAAATCAACTCCCTTTGAAAGGATTGCACAGAACTGGGCCTGAAACTATTCCAAAAGCAGCTATCCGCTCTGATCCCAACTGAAAGCCAGGGTCAGAATAAGATATTGCTGGGCCAGGACTTTCAAAAGAGCACCTAACTCCCTTAGGTTCCTTTGAAACCCCCAGCCCAAACCATATCTCTACATCATGCCATCTAATTTCATATTAAAAATACTATAAAACTGTATTCTATGAGATAAAACACATAGAACAAAACGACAGCAATTTTGACAGCAACCCAGAGAGTTCTGTGGTACCTTTTGCTGGTCTGGCAATCCAATATTTATATTTGCATCTGCCATTGTTCACTATAGTTAACCAAAAGGGGAAAGATTAACTGGTGTTAATAATAGACAAGGTCTGCTAGGCTCCGGTTGGGGGAGTATAGAAAAGTGGAAAAAATACTGAAGAGATGTTAAAGCAATGCCATTAGGACAGCACATTTGTTCATTTTAGCTGCAGTGGACGAGAGCAGCAGCAATGGTTAGACAACCTGTCACTCTCCGGTAGATGGGAGGGAGGGAGGCACATCGGTGCTAGGAAGAGCCCTGTCACACCCTAACCCTAACCGGGCTTGTGCTGAGTGCAATCAATTCCCACTGGCTCGCACAGCAGGAGCTCAGAGCCTTCAGCACTGTGCAGAATCAAATCCATACCAAGGGGAAAGGTGGGGGTAGGCTGAGGGGTTACAGCAGTGTCACTGTGGTTGCACCCATCATCACTTCATTCTGGACCATCATTTTTCCTCTTTTTATTCTCACCTCCTTGCATTTTAACACTTCTTATTTCTGGAAGTGGCAGCGTCCCAACACCACCTTCAAATCCCCATGTGCTGTACAGTAGAACGAGATCCCTGCAGGCGATGGGGTTTAAACACAAAAGTGTAATTTCACTTACCATCAGGGTGCTCATAGGGCAGCCAGTGGTGTTTGCTCTTCTGATGTTCAAAATGGGAATTACGCTGCTGACACTGCTGTGCTCTGAAGTCCTCAAAGTGCTTTGGACATTCTTCTGTATTGCAAAGCTGATACTCAAAATTGACACTGGCGCAATCTTGACCACCATTGACTGGCCTAAGGGGGAAAAATGTTTAAAAGGCTTTTAAAATCCTTGAACCGCAGGAGTGGAGATTTTCTGATGGAATGCACTAGTGAAAAACAGCTACAGCAAGAGCAGAGGAGCTTCCCACAACAAAGGGTTAATATTATTTTTCAGGGCCAAATTGTCAAAGGCAGGTGGAATGGGTGAGCTTGTAAAAACACTGGGAGAACAAATAAATTGCAAAGCTATGCATTTGCACTTGCAAAGCAACATGTGTGTGTGCTGATCGGGTAACTAGACATGCAGTCAGCCCATGTGCATGCCCAAGCAGGAACTTTTTCAGATGCAATGGTGTGCGCGCACCGGTAATGGTTGATTTATAATCAGATAATGTCACTGAAACACAGTGAAAATTCTTGCATTAGGTGTCATCTAAGAATAGGTCTTTCAGGCTGTAGCTGCCATACTCCAGCTTCTCTCCATGCTTTTACATTTCCTAATATCATGTAGATGTTTTCGGAAATTCTAGAATTCTCCAAAGATGATCCCATCCTCCCAACCCCCCGCAAAGAGTCCGGCTGCAGGGGGGTTAGAGTCAATGGAATAAAACATCCAGTTCTTTGCATGGGGTCTGTTGTAGCTTTATAGCCCCTCTATGGTGCCCGTACAAATCACTGGAATAGCAGAAGCGCCCCCCCGCGCACCCTCTGTACAAAGCTCCAGGTAATCTCAGACCCAGTAGCCACAACCCTGTCACTCCCTATGCCCTCCCCACAATGCTCCACCCAATGTCTTGTGTGCAGAACTGGCATGGAGCCCAGCTCCACCGAGTTCAGGTGTGTGGCGTCCCTGTGTGCCCAATCTGCAGGTGTCCACCACGCAATGTGCCATAAAACCGCTGCACTTCTGCTGCACTGCAGAACTGTGGCAGTCCCTTTGCCCAGGTGTGAATGTCATTCACGCTGTATCCTACACATATAAAAACTCCAGACCAATGGGAAATGCCAGTTCATTAGAGACTTCCGGACTTACATTGGATTGTTGCACTGGCGTGTTCTGAAGCGAACGCCGGTACCACAGGTCCGTGAGCAGGAGCCAAACTTTGTCCAGGATCCCCAGTTGCCATCCTGTTTCAGCTGGTTAGCATTCTTCCACATACAGTGACCTTTATAGCACCACTGAGGAGAACCGGGCGAGAAATAAAAAAGTGGAATTACAGTAACATGACGAACAATGCTCAGGGCTAGATTTTACTATAACTATCACCCATAGTAAAGGGCAGCTTGTAGATGCACTGCCCTAGGCACAGACTAGGCCTCAGACTCACAATTCTCTGGTGGAGGAACAGGGTTGAGGAGGAGGGGAGTAGCAGACCTGTGGAGGCTGCTCACCCTTTGTGCTGTGACGCACAATACAGGTAGGCAGTGCAGGGCAGTGTGCGTGCGCTGTACGCCTGCTTAGGATCATAGAATATCAGGGTTGGAAGGGACCTCAGGAGGTCATCTAGTCCAACCCCTTGCTCAAAGCAGGACCAATCCCCAACTAAATCATCCCAGCCAGGGCTTTGTCAAGCCGGGCCTTAAAAACCTCTAAGGAAGGAGATTCCACCACCTCCCTAGGTAACCCATTCCAGTGCTTCCTCCAGCACGTAAAGCTGGATACAATCCAGCCCTTAATTAACCTGATTGGAGAGACTGTTTCTTTTTGGCTCAATCCCAGCCTGCCTCCATTCAGCACCCGCATTTTAATTTTTGTGTGTGCAAGATACAGTGCCAAAGAGCAGCATAGGACCTTTTGCTCATACTGTACTGTTTCTAATGTCCATTTACACTCAGATAGAGGGTTAGTCATCCGACAGTGCACTTTTTGCTGTTGGCTATGGCATATTTGGATGGCATAAGCAGCTTCTCTGTATCTCAAAGTACACAGAATTTGCTAAACAAATATTTATAGGCATGTTAGCTGCTAATTAAAAATGAGAGTTAAAAGCAGGGACCCACCACTGGAGATATTAAAAGAAAAACAGTTAATCCAGGCACATTAGTAGTCCGTTAGCCACAGGATGTCTGGACCGCAAGCACCAAGCATTTAAGAGTAACTACTTCAATCCTAGAGTAAGGGCAAAGTCTGCTACAGTGGTTTCCCACTGCTACTTTCTGGGCAGTTTTCAGATGAAACGACTCCAAAAACATAACGCAAAGCCCACAAGATGGCACTGATGCAAGGTTAGCTCTAAGGCTGGGCTTCGATCTTCTGGCTTCCAACACCATTTCATAAAGTACACCACACTCTGACTTGCTCCTAAGATGAGCCCTGAACCGTGCACATTGTATAGTTCCTCCTCCTTCATGACCTTGGCCTCATTCTTCCCACTGAAGTCAGGAACTTCTGGGATTAAGCCCCCAAACGAGATCTATCCTGACATTTTAAAATAAAAAGATACTGAAAACATAATATACTCACTTTCCCTGGGGCACATTCTGTGCCATCGAGTGGAGGCCCTTTCTTAGTTTTACAGAAGTATGGATTATCTGGATGGCTACACCACAGCTGCTTACATGGGTCAAAGGTTCGAAACTGAAATGTATTAACAAGACCAAGACATTTATTAAACGAAATTAACAATCATGTTATTGATACTGTTCATAGCAGCTATCAGGGCATTAACCATCACCAGATTTCACTAAACCATTTCACTGGTTAAAACTAAGTTGACTACAATACTACCACTATTTAAACACACCACACTGATGTTCCTCCATGAGAATTACTATCAGTTTTGGTAAAACTATGCACTATAGGCTCCTACATTTTCATGAAACCCCGGAGTGGTCCTAAATGAGTCTGGATACACATTTTACTGGCACTTCACACCTTTACGCTGTTTCAATACTCTCAGCCTCTTGCATCCCTCAAAAAAAAAAAATTATGGCTACTGAAAAGGGTCGAAAGCAACTAGATAAAATGATTTTAATCTTTAGAACAACCACTGCGGACATACCGCTGTGCACATTTTGTAACCAACACCAAAATCAAAGCGGCATTGTTCATCCATGGAATAATTGATTCCTGGCAGTTCAGGAAGTTTGGGCCAATCGTGTTCAAAGGGGTCATCAAGGAGACAGTCATAGGAGCTGTGGGAAGAGAAACACAGAAAGCCCATGAGAATACTCAGTGATATTTTCTGACCAACATAGTTATTTTTGCTTGCTCTCATCCATTAGAATGTGTGTTCACCACAACACAGGACAGGGGATAATATTGTGATGGTTCTCGGGGTACCCAGGAATGGGAGTATCCTTGTTACCCTGTTTTCAGCATGAGGGAGTCTTGCTTGGGCATGGCTGGGAGTTAGCTCCCTAACACTACCAGCCTTTCAAGCACTCTCCTCTGGGCTAGGTCTTTGCCTTGCAGGTTAACAAGAGGTGCATCCCAGTCCTCAAGTCCCTTTGAAACATTCCCCTGTGATATCCAGCCCCTGACACCGCCTACTCACAGAAATCCCAAATCCTTTGCCCTGAAGGGAGTAGTGTATCCCAGTTTACCATAAACAACTGCTGCTGTAAGCCACACAGCACTTGCGAGCACTTAAAACAAAACAAAAGTAGGTTTATTTAAGAAAGACTAAAGGTTTAATTAGAAATCAGAGAAAGTGGTGGAAACAAATGGTTACAACAGAAAACAAAATCATAAAATGTAAACCTGGGTCTACACTAATAATTACCTTTCTCACCTCATAAAGAAGGTTTTCCTCCCAGAAATGGTTGGTTCCCCAAGAACCAGGATTCAAACTTTCATGAAAACATCCCTGCTCCAGAATGGGTTTCCTCAGTGAATGGATACAGAGAGCTTTGACTCTGTATTATACTAAAAGCAGCCTTTAGTTTCTATTCACAGACAGGGCCAACCCCAGTCTTGTTGTAAAGTTCCTTTTTTTAAATCTCCAAGTGGTTCTGATTGTTTGAAGTGGCCTCCAATGGTTTCTCATCAAAAGTCCTAGTATTGTGCAAGGGAAAACAATTGAGCCTTGCACTGCATCACCAGCTAAACAGGCTGGGGTGATAACTCTCTCCTGCCTGAATGGGCCATCACCACAACACATTATCCCCTGGTGACTCATTTTTTACTCCCAAGTCCATAAAGCATACTGCCAGTGTAAATACATTGTTCCTTAAATATTACCCGTACCTACATCTCTCAATGATTATGAATCTTGACAAGTTACAAGCTTTCTGTAGATACCTTACATGTTATTCTTTATAGATAAATATCTGTAAGATATATTTGGTTTGTGAGTTTGTCATGTCTCAGGTGAGATGTGTTTGTGAAGAACAGAGCAGTTTGTGAAGCCCTTATCCAGTTCTCTCTCAGGCAACACTCATTTAGATCTGCGAGTCAGGACTGAATGGAAATTGTGAGAGGTCTCAGGTATGCAACAGTAGGAGGATAAGGAAAAAATGTTAAAATGGCAATAAAATCACTCTCCATCCTGCTGTGCTTTTATATATATTCATATATATACAGATTTAAAGATTTTCCTCTTTCTCCAGCCATTTTGCAATTCCCCTTTTCTGCTTTCAGGGCTCCATCCTGCCATCATTTCAAATACACAAACTCCCACTGAGTCAAAGGGAGTTTTGTATTCACTAGAATTTCAGAGTTTGCAAAATCTAGGAGCCTGATCCAAAGTCCACTAAAGTCACTGGAAAGATTCCCACTGATTTCAGTGGTTTTGGATCTGGCCCTATATGAGGAACTGTTGCTGCTGACTTAGAACTTCTTTAAAAAAGTTAAGATGGAAGCGATGTGGCTGCCAGAAAGGAGATTTGGAAAGTGACTTTTTTTTTGTACCTTGAAATGCAACTGTTGTTTTGGTTGCTGGTGTTCTGTTAAAGTGCAGGAGTATTCATTTGCGGTGGTGCATTTTAAGATTGAATTCCTATTTAAATGTACAAATCATGAGCATGAATCCATCTCAAATCCACTTACTTATACACAACTATAGGCCTGTTACTCCTCTCCCCAGCACAGAAAGGATCTAAAGGGCAGAAAAGGCACTGAATCTCTGGCAAGTCAGCAGAGAGGATGCAGCACACTCCCTCGACAGCCATGCTGCCATTAGCCATGTGCTCTTAGCCCCCGCTATGCCATTCAAGGGGGAAGATGGCATTGCAATAAGCATATCAACCACGCAGAGTTGCTCCATCCTTCCAGTAGCCTGACATCTCTCCAAAACCTCAGAAGCCCCAATTCCACTTGTGCTTGCGGAAAGGAGCTTTTGCAGCTCGCAGGGGTCAGGGGATCATGTTGCTCCCTGGTGGTATGTGCTGGGATTTCCCTCTCTCTCTCCTCTGCTGAGTACAGTGGAAGGAAGCATGTGAGCTGACGGCACAAAGTGCTATTTCATGGATAACTACACTAGACACCAACAGGTCCTTACTGTATGTATCTTTTGAGTTCTTGGCCACTGCACCGGGACCAGTGGTAACGATGAAATGCAGCCTGCACCAAAGGAGCCATGACACTCCCCATAGCCGTCTCATCCCCACATCTGTTCCCTTGCCCGTCATGCTCCATTCCCAGCCTGAAACAAAGAGCAGCAACAAAATCGGTGTTATTCCTACCAAAAAAAGGATGGGGGGACGGGGTTTAAACAATTCACACTTTCCATAGTTTTGTTAAAAGGGGATTTAGTTTTCACGTCCTACAAATACCATTAAGTGGGACTCTGTACTAATGACAAAATACACATGGATGGACATTAAAGAGCTCCTGAAAGATTGTTTCTTTAATGCATCTCTTCACTGATTTTATTTTTAATTAACTGAACAGAAACCAAAGGGCTTATCTACACTTGAAAGTTAATTCAGATTAAGGTAGGCTGTGAATTTAAAGCAAAGTAAATATTCCTCAGTAACCCATGTGTGGACATGCTTATTCTGGAATAAGAGTATGCTATTCCAGTTTAGTTAAGCCACAATGGAATAGCTATTCCTGAATAACTCCATGCGTAGACAAACCCTACATTTAGGATGATCCAGGCTTATCTTCTTGATATTAAGAAAAATAGGCAAATAGAGATAAATCTCCATTTATCACAAACAGAGGACCACTTGTTCACAAATTCATGTGTCCACTTTTGCACACTCATTTACCATATGAGTGAGGAACCTGGTCTACTAATTTTAAAAATCAGACCCTCAGTGACATTAATTCATCCAGCCGGCTAAAGGAGGTATTTTGTTGAACGAACCATTCCAGACTTAATTCCCCGAAACATGCCACATCTGATAAATATACAATAGCATTTAGTGAAGCAACAGGTAGAAGTCCGTATCTCTTGACACTGTTGAATGCAATGCATCAAGACAGTATTCCAATGCTTTCCATTTTTGACTTAGATATAAAAATCCACCACATGGAATTTTACAAGGTAAGATTTTGCCCCGCATTTACTTCTTCATTGATTAAAGCTCCTGTGAATGCCAAAGGAATAAGAAATATAAGGAGATTTGCCATGCACATAGCCCACATGAGAAAAAACTGTGTTGTGCAAGCAGGAGAATAAACCCCGTGCTTTATGTTGCTCAGGTTGTAATAGTAAGACTTACACATGACCAGTTTCATGGGCAACAACAAAAGCTGAAGAAAACCCATCCTCATGGTTGAGAGTGCAGCTTCTTACAGGGTGACACATGCCAGTGACGGGAGCGTATCCTGTTGAGAGCAATACAGTTTGGGTTTGTTTCCTTTAATTTTTTTTTATTAGATACCCATAAGATTGACTGTTTTTGCCTATAAAAACCCATCATGAAGGAGTAGTTAGCTATATGCTTCCCTGCTGCAAGATGAGGCTAGGTCAGCTGCAAACGTCCATCTCTATCTGAGTGGGAGAGGAGGTTGATGAACTTCCTTTGGAATGCGATGGTCTTGGATTTCTTTGTAGTTATTGTCTTGATGTCCAATTTCTCCACCCACTTTAAAGCAGCTTTTCTCATTAAAATGACTACCACACAGATTAAATTGCTGTGACAAACCTAAAAGCCATGCCTGGTTTATTAGCAATCTACATTGTTCTCTAGACACTTACATTTTTACCACCAAAATTCATGAAATGATGTTCCAGTCTAACTTGGAGGTAAAGTTTTCAGTAATAGCATTTTTCTGTCATGCTGATATTAGTATTTTCAATTTTAGTCTAGGTCCTTTTTCGTGTTGTCTGTCTTTTTGTCAACAACATCTGAAGTCTTCCTCAAGGGAGAAAATCTCCACCTTCATCTATTAGGATAGGCGTACACACTTAGGTCAATTTTTTCAAAAGCACCTATTAGTTTTGGGTCTTCCGGTTTGGGGGAGTCTGACTTGAGACACCTTAGTCTTGGTCGGGAGAAGTGGTGAGCACTCAACTCCAACTAAGAAGAAGGGCAGATGTTCAGCTCCTTTGAAAATAAAGCCAATCGTTTCTCAAGTTGAGCATTTTTCATGGGTACTGGAAGTGTATTTCAACTCATATGGGTTTGTGGTAGCCGATAATGTGAATTTTACAAAGGAATGTACAATTGACACCACAGTGGTCAATTACATAAACCACATGAAGTTGTTCTTGCTCCATGACTGGTTAACATATGTAACTAATACCTTGTCTACAAGAGAAAGTTGCACTGTTAACTTGAGGAGTGATTTTAAACAGATTTAGTTGAACTGATGCAAACCCCACCATGGAAAATCTTATTTCTATTTAAGTGTTGTTTGTTACCATTTAGCTTAAGGTGGTATTGATGTTAAACTGGAATATGAGTGTCTTACAGGGGTTTGCACTGTTTTAACTAAATTAGTTCAAAACCCAATTTAAGTTAAACCAATGCAAATTTCTCACACATGCAAGGCCTAAGCAACAGGGATCATATTTCTCATTGGTATTCAAGTGTAAAATTCACAATTCACACTATTTACAATGCAATGCACAACTTAAAACTTGCTCAGTCAGTTATGTGCGTCAACCAACTGGGGAACAGAAATACCACCAGGTGACTTATCTACAGTAGCTAATTGAAGCAGTGCAAAGTGTGTATCTGGTTACAAAATTCACAATATTACCATTTAAACAGTCTGCCAAGCAAGAATCAGAGCTTGTTGGGAATTCTCCAATGGAACATTTTCCTGTCAGACAATGCCAATCTGGTGAAATGGACACATTCTGTGGAGACTGTTCCATTTCAATGACGTTGCGACAAAACCCAGGCCTGGTTCTGATGTTACCCTGCCTGAAAGTGCCTGATTTCCAGCCAGCTTGTCTGCCTGGCTCCGTGGGGAGGCAGGAGCCTGGATACACCAGGGCAGCCTGACCCAGAGCCAAGTCTCCATTCCCTTGTGCAGAGCATTTCAAAAAGGGCGGTTTTCATTCCAAATACGAATGAAGCCAAATTTTTGAAGCCTCAAAATCCTCCACGATATGGAATTGCCTATCTTTTCACAACTCTTTCAAGAGTTATTCACTGAAGAAATTAATAAAATAGATCAAACAAGCAGCCTGCTTGAGAATTTCACGATCTGTCAGCAGACAATTTGTCAAAAGGCAAAGTTTACTGCCAGCCTCTTTGTGGCTTCTAAGCAACTCGGCTGCACAGCTGTTGTGAGGAAATGCCCCAGGCCAGGAAGGGCACTAGAAATACTGTGCCCTGGCATGGTGCAGATGGCTTCTTTCCTTTGCTGGAGTACAGCTCCACAGGCCAGTGCTACAGGCAGTCCATGCCCCCGCCTTTTCCACACCCTTTTTTAGCTTTCAGCTCCCCAGTGGACAGCAGAAAACAAGCAGAACACATGCTCCCCAGACCACAGGCAGCACAGGGACTGCTACTGTGAGTGGTCCTTGAGCAGCATTCAAGGGGGACAAGGAACTTCTTGCTTGTCCCACGCAGCCACCCCAGGACCACTCATATTCTGGCCTTGAATAAATTACTCTGCTAAAAACCCTTCACCCAGCTCTAGTGCTGACTACAGTGCAAGAGGTATCAATGAATGCTTGGACTGGATCGAAAGTTCGAGAAAAGCTTCTGCATTATCAGTGCACATAGACTGAGGGAAGAAGAGACAAATTCATCACAGTTACACAGAGTGGCACATTTTCAGGTCTTCTCATCATGACTTCTAGTTACTAGCAGTCACGTGGATTAAATCCTATACTGCCATTTTACTGCCAATTACCTCGACTGTTAGCTCCTAGAGGAATAATGAAAACCAGCCCATGCATTAACTCATTGACAGGTAGTCTATAAAAAGGCTTCTACAGTTAATGACACGACAACAAAAAACAAAGCTAAATGCAAAGTGCATTAAGATTTCCTGTTTTTCCACATCCAGCAAGTGGATTGCTATTTACTAGAAACTGAAAACTCGTTGGAGAGTAACTTTACCATGCTCCAGTTTGACAAGGGCTATCATTCCTCATTTTTCAGGACACAAAGTGATCAGATGAAATCAGGAAGTAATTTCTCCCCATGGTACAGTAGTGCACACTCAGCAATTTGAGGGTTTTATACCTTCCTCTGAAGAATCTAGCCTTGGCCATTGCTGAAGACTAGATGAACAACTAGCCGGCTCCACAATAGAGCATGCTTACACTTCTGTACATGCTTTTCTGAACAGGGATTGACTTAGGCACACGCTCAAGTTAAACACTTGCTTAAGTGCTTTGCTGAATCATAACCTATGCTCTTTTTTTTTTTTAAGATCAATTAACACAACTTTCAAATCTTTTCCCTTTCTTTCATGCATTATTAAAAAACAAATAATTCTGCTACAGACTGGTTGCTTTACCTTGCATACCAGCAGGCCCAAAATCTTGCCTGGTTAAAAAAATGGCATGATCATGGTGCTCAGAATGATTGGGATCCGACTTCTGTTGCTGGTAGGCCCAGCGGCAAACATTCTCCAGGCTTCTTGAGGGGTTTCCCCTTTCAATCAAGCTGACGGACTAGAAGAGAGTAATAAATTAGAATCAAGAGCTTAGTGGTGCATTCCCTGAACTTGGCGTCAGGACATTTAAAACAATTATTTTCTCTTAAGGTTTGCCAATGAGGTGAGTTAGTGAATGGCAACCCCTGGTGCAAACCTATGGCACACTAGCTTGTTATGCACTAACTCACCATTTGGACCGTGCTACAGTGCACTAAAAGTTCTGTAGTGTATCAAAGAGCACCTTGGAGCTTTTAGTGCACTACAGCAAGGGCCAGACACCGAGTTAGTATGCGGCAAGCTAGTGTGCTGTAGATTCACAGTCTGGCTCGTCACACACCATTTGGACAAGCCCTCAAGGAGCTCCTCTCTGAGCACTGAGCAATCACTCTTTTCACTCCTCCCCAGCTCATGCCAGCCTTTTGCCCTACATCTTGCACGTGCCCCTTCTGGTCGAGTGTGTCTCTGCAGTCTTTAAACAGTCCCAGCTCTGGTGTTGGGCCATACCCTGAGGGCTTCCTCCCTGGAGGCAATGGTTTTCCCCTCTTGGTCTGTTCTGGCCACAGCTCTGCACCTGGGCCACTTAACAGATCAGTTCCCCTTCTAGGGGTTTATCACTGTCCGATTATAGGCCACTTCCCCAGTTGCCTATGGGAGGCGGGGGACCCAGGCCTACACACTACTCTGGGTCCCAGCCAAGGGACCCTAAGAATAGCAGCCATGCGCCACCGTGTCCTGTTAACTAAACTGTTTTCAGTTCCCTGGGCCACTTCCCCGTAGCCCCAGCCTTCACTGATGCTTCACCCTTGGCTCAGGGCTCCTCTGTGTTCAGGCCCAGCAGTCAGCCAGGAGCTCTTTCTCGCTCCCCCAGTCCCTGCCAGCACTGAGCTGTCCATGGTGCTGCAGTTCCCTCTGCCCAGCCAGGGACTGTCTCTGGCTCTGCAGCTCCTTTTCATATGGCCCTCCTGGGTCCTGATTGGTTACTCCCTACAGCCTCTCTGATTGGATAGCCTTTTGCAGACTCCTCCTGATTGGCCTCCCCCGTCTCTCTAGGCTGCTCAGAGGACTTCGCTCCACTGCTCCTTTTCTGGGATGGGTGTGGCAGGTCCCTGAGGCCTCCAGCAGGGGGCCTCTGGTCGTAGTCCACCCCATCACACTCGGGCGGCAGACTCTGATGAAACAAAGTCTGCCCAGAGGGGGTTTGCAATGGTACAAGGCATCTGCACCCCATTCTGTCAAGGGCGCTCTTGTGCCCATCCCTAAAGTAGGTGGCACTGGCAAGGGAAGGACATAGACAGAACACATATTAGGAGAATCTCCCATGCAGCTGGGCTCCCATAAAGACTGTTCTCTCCTGGGGGCATATCTCTTCAGTCATAGCTGCCACCCAAGTATTAAGGAGGATGCAGACTAAAACCCCCAGCACCATGTAGGTCAAATCAAGCCCAGCATATGTAGCATGAAGCAGAATTTAAACAAAGCGGATTGGTATCATAGGAGAAGGATATACTTCATAAGGAGCATTTCATTGGCTTATATCCTCCCAGCTTGGTAGAGACAAAAAGTTACCCTCATCTTCCAGCTGTTGGCGTTTGGTGAGAAATGAGTCAGGAAGGGGCACCAAGGACAGTTGTGTCAGCATCACAACAGGTGCTCTTGTACGCAGCCTCAGAGAAGAGCATTCACCAGATTTGGGCGGAGGCAAACAGGAGAAGTAGCTCTCAGAAACTGCCTTGCTACTGCCTGCGGTGCAGGACCCCCGTCTCCACTGCTGCCAGTCCAGCAGCACCCACCAGCCCCAAATTAACTGACACTGAAATATAATTGTGAAGATTAAGATGCAGAACTCATTGAAATGCCTTTTTACCTTTGCATATCCCAGCATTATCATTCGCACCAGCACCACATTTATGTGGACACCAAGGGATTCATCGTGGTAAATTTCGTTCACCTAAGAATGAGGGGAAAATAAAAGATAGATAAAACAAATCATATAGAGAGAATATTAAAGTGCATATAGAGTTTTATTTGCTCATAAGGAAGTAGAATTCAAGTCTTAAAATGTTTCTATGCACATTACAATTCCAGTTGTAACAAACCTTCTCATAGAGAACTTGATCAAAACCAACTGATGTTAATGGGATGGCTACAGTTGACTTAATGGACTTTGTGGCCCATAGTGAAATTGTTCTTGAAGAAAAAAAAAGACTTTACTAAGTTCTGAACCTGCAAACACTTAAGCACATGCTTAACTTTACTCATGTGAGTAGTCCTATGGAAGTAAATGAGATTATTCACATGAGAGAAATTAGGCATGTGCAGGATTGGGGCCTATCAGAGGGTATCACCGAGGATATTTTTTATTTTCTTTATTTTGATTTAAAACTCTCTGATGGATTTTAAAACAAGTAAAGTTTGCAATGATATAAAACAGTTACAGTCCCAAAAAATCCATCAGCTGCACCTTATATCCCACAACCACTTGGTCCCCAAGCATCTTATAGAATAGACTGTGTATAATTCATATGGCACAAAACACCCCTAGGTATATTTATTATTATTTCCTGGGGCTTTCCATCATTGTCAGAGTGCCTCTTCTGCTGCCCCAAGATTTCTTTCCCCTTCCAGTCCACATGGAGATCTCAAGCGTGCCATTTGTACTGAGGATGAGTTCCAGCATCTGTCCCCAATTGCTTTGTCTAGCGAATGTCCAACGTAAATTAGGACATATGCTTCGGATTACTACATGAATTGGGAAAAAGCTCGCGTGTTTTTCATTTATTTAAAAAAATGCACTTTATTAAAATTCTACACCCAATGGGCCAAACCCCACAAACCGCACCCAAGCAAATCCTGTTAATGTCTGTGTGAGGTTTTCCCTCAGTAAATACTTCAGGATTCAGCTTACTATCTGCTTCTGTCTGGAGAGAGACATGAAAAACTAGGCAGCAGCCCTACACGCACTTATGCATGTGCTTAATTTGAAGGGTCTGAGGAGTCCTGCTGACTGCAAACTAAGCTTAAATGCAGTGGGAAAAGGACTTCCAAATCCCCTAAGTGGCTTTGAAATTCTCAGCTGGAAGTTTTAAAGTCAACAGCATTGCCGAGAGAGAGAGAGAGAGAGAGAGAGGCATAAGCACTGCACCACAGCTGGTCTATCACTGATACCCTCAAATATCCTCCATTTCGCTAAGTCAACATGTTCCATTTAAAAATCCTTTAATAGTATGAAAACATACAACATCTAAGCATTTTAGTTGGGGTTGGTTCTGCTTTGAGCAGGGGGTTGGACTAGATGACCTCCTGAGGTCCCTTCCAACCCTGATATTCTCTGATTCTATGATTTTGGAAGATGAGTTACTATATAAAAACAACTTCTGTCAATCTATGCAAACACCATAGGCACCAACTCTGTGGATGCCCTGGGACTGGAACAGCCATGGAAAAAAATAGTGGGTGCTCTGCACTCACCAGCCACCCGCCGATCAGCTGTTCGGTTGGCCCCGCCAATCAGCTGTTCGGCAGCAGGCACTCGGGGGAGGAGGCGGAGCAGGGGCAAGAAGAGGCGGAGTGAGGGTGGGGCCTTGGGGGAGGGGGCAGAGCCTCAGGGCAGAGTGGGGACAGAGCATCCACCTGGAAAAATGGAAGTCGGCACCTGTGGCAAACACCCATCCAAAAGTGAATCTCCTGATACCACAAGACTCCAGTTCCAAAGGGCAGTAGAAATTACACAGGGAAGAAGTAGTTGCATTGCTCTTAAGCACCCTTTGCAAAGCAATTTATGAATCTGCACAAAATGCCAAATTTTGCTCTTGGAGGACTCTAGTGGGAGCTGCACTCAAGGGCGGGATTTTGCCCTAATCATTTCTTTAGAAAGCTCATGCTCCAATATGTCTGTTAGTCTATAAGGTGCCACAGGACTCTTTGCTGCTTTTAGAAGAAACACTCCTGTCCATGGTTAAAGGTAAAAGAGGACAAAAATTTGGGGACATGTCATGAAAGGGATCGAGAATTATACAGGTGGGTCAAAATCTTCTTTTTTCCTGAACCAATGGTATGTCTGGGAGTGTGGGGGGAGGAGGTCAAAGGAAGTCTTCTCCCACAGGTACAAATTATGGGTTAGAACATCTGCAGATCATAAATAAAGTTACTCATCCTCCTCAAATGAAATAAATAATATGTTATGGACTAACTGATGCAAAATAAATAGCAGTGCTCAGAAGGAGATTGGTATATGTGTTCATAATTAAAGAGGTTTTTTATAGTCAGGCTAAAAAGAGACATTCCTTGCACAGAGGAAAAGAGTGCCATTCAGCGTTGTCCCATCTGTGGGACCTGGCTCAAATATACAGTATGTGGTTCTAAAAAGCAAGACCTTTTAGGACCAGCTGAGAATGAATTGTTGGCAATGCACACAACTCAGATCACCTGCCTTATGAAGCAGTTATTGAGGAGTTCAGGGATTTATTTCTCATATTCTCTCTCCTGACACGATGCAATATTATAACTTCCACAATGGATTTTTGTAGTGGAACAAAGAAAGTGTCCTAGTTTCACAATCACTGATAAGTGCACCAGCTGATGAACATTCAAGGGATCAACAAACCAAAAGTGACTCATGCCCTTATGCCAGGAGGTACAGGCCTCCCTTCGCTGACTCTAGTACTGGTGAAAAGTTCTGGATTGACCTGGAGATGCAAGACCTGTATTTATCTACAATATAGATTTAGCACAGCCTGCGATAGTGCAAGATCTCCTCCCGTTCCCTCTAATGTACATTAAACTAACCTGAAGACACACCTGGAAGGCTGAGAGATTAGTTTGAGTGCCTGACCTTTCTGCCGAGTCTGTCAACAAGAGTAATAACTAGTGCCAAGCACGGCAGTGGTTTTGATCATGTAAAACCAGTTCTCTAGGAAGTGGAGTTTTCTCACAGGCCACCAAACACCCAGGAGAGACTAATCTCTTTCTAACATTACTGTTGGGGGTGAGAGATAACCTAGACACCTACAGATGAGAGACTGCTTTGTCCCGTCACTAATTCTTGGATGCATCATCCATGTCCCTAGAGCTTGGGAAATGTTAAAGCCTTTAAAATGTATGCAGTGCTGTTGTAGCCGTGTTGGCCCAGGATATTAGAGAGACAAGGTGGGTGAAGTTATACCTTTTATTGGACCAACTTCTGTTGGTGAGAGAGACAAGCCTTCGAGCTTATTCACAGAGCTTTTCTTCAGGTCTGAGAAATGTACTCATTTTAAAATGGGGCACTTTAACCTGTGGAGGATCCTTCTGACATATTCCTAAAGAAACGTCATACATACATCACTTCACACTGATTTTCCTGGGTTTCCTCACACAGTTATTTTCCCTGAAAGTTCAGATTTTGCAAAAAGCTGTTGCTTTGTTTTAATACAAAACATCTTTCCTACACTGTCCAGTACTCTGGGATATATGCGGAATTTAGATTAATCCCCTTTGTTTATTACTCTGTTAGGGCCAAATTCCCTTCTCTTACTCCTGTGGAGTGGTATCTTAGGCCACGAGCTGTCTCATTGAAATCATTGGGTAAAGTATTACTCCACGTAAGCCAGAATGGCAGAATCTGGCCCTTAGAAGCTTAGCAATAAAGAACCAGGTTGAACCTTTAAAATGTGTGCTTATCAAGGGGCAGCAGTAGTTCTTTCCCCAGGAGAAGAGCAGGGAGGAAGCTGTGATTTGCCACATGAGTTGTAGATCACTTCCCCCTCTGCTTTTGTTCAAGTATTTAAAAACAAAACAGGTTAGACGCATTGTAGCAGCAATATAAAGGGTCCTCCCAAAGCACTACTTGCTGCTCAGTACTGGGCCCAGTACCGGGATCAGAACCAGGCAGTGCCTGGATGTCCCATGCCTCTCCAAAGACAAAGAACAGGAGCCTCTCATGTCTGACTTAGAAACCAGTGGGAGATTCCAAAAAGGCCACTGGACTAGTGGTGGGCCCCAGTGACTCCCTGACCACCCACTGGAACGTACTCCCACCGAAGGTTCCTTAGCAGGGTAGTAGTGCCTTAGTGGAGAGTAGTGAGAGTTGCCACATGGCTGGGAAACACAGGCCTCAAACTGATTGAGAGTCGGATGACTCTCCGTCCACTGACCCAGGAGGGGCTGCTCCTGACAGTGCTTGAGACCGGTGCTGAGTTGCAGAAGGATGCAGTGCAGCCAACATTGCAGGCTTTCCCCTCACCCATACCAACGGACGTGCAGTTTGAGGCAATGGAGGTTGACATGGTACCAAGCGCTGCACTGATGTTGCTGGCGCCCCGTCTGCTGGTACCGAGAGCGTGGTCTCCTGCACCCCTTTTAACACTGGCACTGAAAGGCTCAGCAGATCTCTTGCTGCCACAAGCACCTCCGGCGTGGTCAGTACCGAGATGGTCTCGGGACCATATTGTGCCACAGACGTAGAAGATGCTCCCTCAGGTTCTGGACTCACTGCCACCTGCCTGGGTGCCGGGGTCAATGGTGCCAACTTCTGCGGTGCCACACAATAGGAGTGCTTAAGTCTCAACTGCAGTCTACTCTTATCCCAGGCCTCAATGACTTTGGTGTGGTGACCCTCACCCCTGGGTGGTTTGCTTAGCCTCTTCTTAGGCACTGGGGAGGGTGAGCGGTGTCAGAACTCAGAAGCAGCTTGGAGATGACATGTTCCACTTGCAGTGGTGACACTAACACCGTGGACACAGAAGGTAAGCAAGAGGGGACTGAATACAAGATCCTGTCTTTGATCAGTGACATCAATTCCTGTTCTAAGCTTTGTACAGTAAATTGGGATAATTGTTAATCTGTTGATTAGATTTTAACATTCAAAAATATTTAATAAATTTCAATTGGTATTCTATTGTTATAAGTGCGATTCATCGCGATTAATTTTTTTGAGTTAAGTACGATTAATCGACAGCCCCAGTGTATATT